AATTAACTAAATTAATCGATTGGACATTTTTGTTGTCTAATTGTAACAATTTGAATTATCATTACAATTAAAAAGTGAGTATCTAAATTATCACAATTAGGAATCAACAATTAACATTAAATTGTACTACACTTGTCAAATTGAACTATTTAATTGTTCCCATTTCAATTGTAACAATTGTAACAATTATATTATCATTAAGATTAACTGGTCAGCTTGACCTGTGAATTTAATCATACAAAATGATTTAATGATGAAAGTTTTCAAGTGAGAAAGTTTTTCATTATGATGATGATGATATTCATTCACATCATTATTATCATCATCATCATCATCTACATGAACATAGAGTACCAGTCATGATAAAAAACGGAATCTATTGCTTTTCATCATCTTTAATCACCTGAATCATTTACCTTATCATAAACCATGAACCTTGATGATTAGATTAATTAGATTGTTACACATTCAATTACCGTGTTAATTGTTTTCTAATTAAATGTAGAAATACTTTGATTGTATTTTTATTTTCCTAATAATAGTTAAGGTAAATCACTGAATCTCTAGTAAAATAATTTCCATCATGAAAGAGATGGCGAAGTAATTGAATTCTGAATTTCTATTTCATCAGACTACCTGAAGTTATTAATGAAATTTTCATTTTATCTCTCTAACTCTCTCATTATTATCATCATCATCTTTAAGTCTGAAAAGATCATCGCTCTTACAATCTTAGTGCAACAACATTGGAAACCCTTGCGGCTATATAACCAATGATGAAGATGATGATGACTCAAGTAAATGTCTTACCTGAGAAAATGATGATTATGAAGATAGTTAAGAAAGGGAAAAAGTAGATTGACCACCGTTACCATGTTAAAATACATAAATACATTTATTATGTAAAGAAGATGGAAGATAAATAATAACATGATGATAAGGTACTCGATGAAACCCGGAAGAAGGAGGTTAAAATAAAACAAGAACCAGAGATGATGATGATATGTTATTGATGATTAAATTATTGAGATGAATATGATTTATAATGGTGATGTTTCAATCAGAAATCAGCATCATGATCAATAGATACATTTTTCTGTCTACTTGAATGAAGATAAATGAAAATTAGATCAACATGATATTTTTCAAGGTTCGATATCATTCAGATATTCAAGGGAGAGTCTATTCATGATGGTGATGATGATGATTAAGATGAAGAAGATGAAGATAACATGACACCTTATATTTTTTTTCTTTTCTTTTTTTCTTCAAAGTTATGCTTAAATTCATTCACAAGTTCATCTTTGTAAGTTATCATCATCATTATCTTTTCTATTTGTCATCTTGTTTATCTCTCTCTCTCTCTCTCTCTCTCTCTCTCTCTTACACCTTATCATCATTCTAACTACTGCATTTATCTTCTCCTTGTCCTCCTACTTATCATCATTCTATTTATCCCACTCTATCTCTCAGCGTATTTAATAAAGACAAAGATAAAGAGAAGACAATAGTTTCCTTTTCCGTTTTGTTTTTCTTGATTGCTTTTCATCCTCATCATCACCTTGAAGTGACATCATCTTAATCCATCTTGTTATGTGATAAATATGATGTTTCTTGATCCAAATTATTACCACAACAAAAGACAATACAATCATCATTTTTTTTCTTCATTGTAATCAACAATAGCCAAGGAACATGAAAGAGGTAATGAAGATAAAGATGATGATGATGATGAAAAAAAAACAATCTCTAACTATGATGTTCAGAAGATTCATTTTTTTCATCTTCGTCTCCCTGGATGATGAGAACTTGAGACTTTACCTTGGTCACGCTGAATCCACCCAAATATCATCATGTTATCTTCCTCATCTTCTTTCACATAGTCTCTCTCTCTCTCAAGATGATGTTTGTTGTTTACTGATTGTTATTTGTTGATAGTTATTCGCATTCTCGAATCAAAATTGTTTGTACTGGTTATCATCATTTTCTATTTATCATGATAGTCGTTGGAATGGAAAATTCTGATTCACTTGAATTGATAACATGATGATTATTATGATAATAAAAAGATGAGGATGAAATTTTGAAAAAAGGTCATGGATATGTTACTATAAATGATTAATATGATCGGATGAAAATTTTTGCAAACCTTTTAAAGGGTAATAGGGTTTCTCACGTTTAAATATATATTATGTAATTTGTATTCATCTTTTGTCATCATCTTAATTATTATTATCATCATCATCACCATTGATTAAGATTGAAGAGATAATTTAATTGTTGACAATCAATTTTATTTTCTTGTGTAATCAGTTGTAATTGTGTAACTGTTTGTTTGTTTGTTTTGGTTTGAAAAAAAAAATTAATATGCAAAAATAGGACAGCTGATTGTTGTCATTGATTAATTTTAATCATCATCATTATTATAATTGCAGTTGATAATTAACATCAAGATGAGGATAAAGATGATGGGTCAATGGTCCTCATGATCATTTTAAACTTTCATTGTCATTATCATGATAAATTGTTATTGTCCTTTAATGATTCTGATATAATGTTAATCTGTTTCCTTACCTTTCAGATTATCTCAGATTTTACCTGAGATTTTATTTTTGGTTAACCAATAATAGTAATCATTAAGTTTAATTAATTAATCCATAATCATGATGTGATCAACTGGTTAATTAATTTTCTGCTAAATTGAAAGAGTTATTGAAAGATTAAAGGTAAAAGTCATTTACTTTTATATTGAATTGAAAGTAATTCCAATTGTCAAATAACTTTCATGATGATATTTAATATGAATGACATGAAGATTATTAGGAAGATAAATAGTTACAGGAAGATGATGAGGATGATGAGCTTAAAGGGAAGTGACCAATAAATGATGATGATGATAACAAGTCCAGATTAAAGTGATTCCATGTTAAACTTAAATGAAATTTCAGAGTTTTTTTTTCTTTCTTCAAGTTGATAGAAAAATGATCATGAAAACAAGATGATGATAGAGATAAGAATGATGTATTTGAAAGAGGTAAGCTGTAAGTCTTAATCCAATGAGATCTAGTGAGAGATGATGATAATCAGGATGATACTTGATTCATCTTCATTCTTTCTCTCTACAGGGATCTTTATCCTCTCTCACTCTCTCAGAATTCATGGATCACATTTTGTTCAATTTCTTCATTGATGAATCTCCAATTCCAACTGAGATTCAGTTGACTCTCTATCTTACCTTTCTCATCTTCCATCGATGGACAACCTCTTCTCTCTCTCTCTCTCTTCCTATTTTCCTTTCTACCTTATCATTATCACCAGAATCAGAATCTTCAGTTGATTGAGTTTCCTGGTTTTCTGATTTTGTGATTTTTTTGTGGTGAAAAAGAGAAAGAAAAAAAAATAAGATGAAAAATTTAATTAATTCTGAGAAATAAATTGTGTTTTCTTTTCTCGCTGTTTTTTTTATTACAAGAGATTATGATGATAATTGGAAGATAGATATTTCTTCATCATCATGATTCTGATTCCGATTCAAGATGAACCAAAAAAAGAGATGAGATAAAGAGGAAATTCATTGATGAGTGTTGGTGTTTTTGGTTCAAATTGTTTATTATTATTTTACTATTGATGCGTAAATCTTGTTGATTGTGATTGTTACCGTAAAATTGGCACATTGTTTGGTCAATATTTTTGATTGTTTAACAATTTGTTAATTGTTTACAATCAGTTTAACAGTTTCTCTTCCTCTTTATCGACTTAATTACATTTAAATCATCACCAACCTCCCAATTGGGATACAATTGATTGAATATATTTAGCTTGATTGTTAATTGACTAATTATTTTAATAACTGAACGAAAAAATAATTATGGTTAAAACAATTAATCAATTGAAGTGAGTCCACAATCATTAAATGTTTATTGTTAATTAACTGTAACAATTTAACTTGTTCATCTCTTAGAGGATTTTATAATCTGTTCCTGATTTAGGTTTTTCATCAACTTGTAATTGTTTTAAATCATTGATTTATAACAAAAGTAATTAGTTTAATCAATAATTTTCTCCAATAATAAGACAAATGATTAAATTCGTGATTAACCTCAATTTGATTAACATTTCAACTCAATCAGTTGATTAGGTTGAGAATCAATTTGATTAACAACAACAAACCTTGACCTCGATCCTTTCATTTCAACCCCTTATCCTAAAGCCGATTTCAAAGGAGAGAGAGAGAGAGAGATGAAGATAAAGAGATGAGGATGATAAAGATGATTAGAAAAAAAGTTAATTAGTCCTTATTATCACTCCAATAATAATATCTACCTGTTAATATGAATCATAAATATATCGCAATTTGAATGATGATAATGATGATTAACTCTCATTATCTTTTAACATGAAATAAAAAATCAACTTCAATTGAGATGATAAATTGACCTTTCCAATATTTATAAAGATTATCATTACCATTCAATATTTATTAGCATTGTAATTTATTTTTAATGGTTTGTCTTATTATCATCACAATTATCATCATTGATATTGATGATGATGAGACAAGGTTATATTAACAACTTATTAACACCCAATTTCACCTAATTTCCGGTTCCATTTTTAATGAATCTGAATCTCATTAGACAACGACAAGATGAATAAAGATTATAAGCTAAAAAAATGGTCACTCTCATGATATTTTGTTGTCATCATCATCATCATGCTAATCACCATCTTATTATCATGCACATAAATAGACACATTGAATGGCTGATTTTCTTGAATACTCATTTCCGTTATTGAGCAAAAATTTTCCATCAAATTTGTTGTAATATAAAAAAAAAGGTTAACTTGTTAACCTGATAAACTTGAACTGGTCAGTAATTGGCGATTTGTTTGTTTACCTGTTGTTAAATGAACAACAATGAATAACTTTTTTCTGTTAAAATTCAATAATAATCATTTCCTTTTTCCATCTCTACCCATTTCCATGATATCGATAACAGGTATGGAGGTGAATTGGCCTTTATTCAGGACTACAGTCAAAATAACTACACGAGTTACTTATCTTACCAGTTCCTTAAAGATTCACCAGCTAAATCATATTGGATAGGTAAGAGTATTGATATTAAGTGGCCGTGATTATTCAGGAGAGATTCATGAAGATGAATCAGATTCCGGTTCTTGTTTCCTCTTAAAACTTACCTTTTTTCCTTATACCAAATAAGTTTCTCTCTCTCTCTCTCTCTCTCTCTCTCACCTTTTTCCACCTTCCTTGACCAGTCCAGTCTATTATTAGTTGAATAATAAAAATACCATATTGATTTATTGATATGACCAAAAATTCATTATCATTATCCTACTGAACTAATTCTTGTCTTTGATTTTTGGTTTATTCATTTTTCATGGTTATCAACAGGTTATCATACGATTCAGAATTTATCAACAAATCATATTGAATCAGCGAGTGGTAAATATATCTCACAATATGTTGGATTCTGGTCACTCAATGAACCCGATGTGACCAAAGGTGATTGTGTCCGAGCGACTTTTGAAGAATCGTCTCTTTATCCTTTAATTGATAATTCATTAAGCTCACCTGGCCCATCTTCTGGTTCACACTCTTCATTATCTTCCTTATCTTCACCGGCAGTTCCTCAACAAGTTTGGGAATTAGCTCCATGTGAAGATCTGTTAACATTCATCTGTCAACGTGAAGCTTGTCCAATAGGTCATTTTGCTTGTTCTAATGGTCGGTGTATTAATAGCGCTTGGCAATGTGATGGTCAAGATGATTGTGGTGATAAATCTGATGAGATTGATTGTCCACAAAACTGCCAGTATTATTTACAATCATCTGGTGATAAGGTACAATCACCTCATTATCCTAATCGTTATAATCCCAACTCAGAATGTAAATGGACACTTGAAGGTCCCATCGGATCAGGGATGATTTTACAGTTTACCGAATTTGAAACTGAGCCCAATTTTGATACCGTTCAAATTTTATCTGGTGGTCGAACTGAGGAAACTTCGGTTACTCTTGCAACCCTTTCGGGGGCTCAGAATATGTCAACTCGAACCTTTGTCACCGCTTCGAACCTTATGATTGTCAAATTTAGATCTGATTCATCGGTTGAGAAAAGAGGTTTTCGAGCCTCATGGAAAACGGAACCAATCAAATGCGGTGGTGAACTTTACGCTCAGGCCACTGCTCAAGTAATCACTTCACCATTTTATCCGGAACCTTATCCTGGTGGGTTAGAGTGTGTCCATATCATCACTGCCCCACAGGGTAAAACAATAACCCTTGAAGTTGTTGAATTAGACTTGAAACCTGATACAGATTTTATTTACCTTCGTGATGGACCGGGCTCATCTTACCCGTTGTTGGCAAAATTATCGGGATCTATTGATGGTGTTGCCAATCGGTTTATCGTTTCAACTTCAAATCGAGTTTATTTTTACTTTCAAACTGTTCTTGGTGATTCTCGACATGGCTTTGCAATTAGATTCCGTTATGGGTGTGAAATTGAATTCCAAGGTGATTCGGGTAATATAACATCACCTGCTTACGGCGTTTCTGACTATCCCGCTAATCAACATTGTACCTATCGACTTAATCGACCTGGTTCTGGTTCTTTGTCTCTGATTTTCGATGCATTCGATGTTGCCTCGAATGATACTGTTTCTATTTATGATGGACATGATGTCGCAACTGGTGTACCACTTCATCCGGGTAAAGGATTCGCTGGTCGAGTAATACCTTCCAATTTAACGCTGACCGCAAGTTCGGGTAAAATGACGATTGAATTTGATAGTAATCTATTGAATACTGCTCGCGGTTGGTCTGCACGATTTAGCGCTGATTGTCCGCCGCTCAAGATTGGTGAAAATGCTGTTGCCTCAAGTCGAGAGTCAACTTTTGGGGCTAAAGTTATTTTCACTTGTCCATTAGGTCAAGAATTTTCAAATGGTGCAACTCTTTTAGTTACTCAATGTCAACAAGGTGGAATCTGGTCTTTGCCAAGAATACCCGCTTGCAAAGAGCGTTACTGCGGTCCAGTACCTCAAATTGACAATGGTTTCGCAGTTGAGGCAACAAATGTCACCTATCGAGGTACAGCAACGTACCAATGTTATGCTGGTTTTGCTTTCCCTTCAGGCCGAGGAACTGAGACTATCCGATGTGGGGAAGATGGACATTGGGGTAAACTACCAGTTTGTCTTGCGTCTTCGTGTCCACCGCTACAAGAGGTTATTCATGCCAAGCAAAAAGTTCTCGTTGGCTCAGGTCGATCATATGGAACAATTATTCGCTTCGAATGTGACCCTGGATATCATCGTAATGGTGTTCCCGTTATTATCTGTGAATCAATCGGCTCATGGTCTGCCACCCCACCCACCTGTGAACGTGCAACTTGTCCAACTCTTCCCGAAATACCGAATGGTTTTATCATCGATCAGTCAAAGAAATACTTTTTCGGAGATGAGGCTAAGGTACAATGTAATCGAGGCTACAAATTAATCGGTAAAACAAACATTGTCTGTGGTGCTAATCAAACATTTGAAGAGCTTCCATCTTGTAAGGATATTGATGAATGTTCATCACCGGCCGCTTGTGATTCTGCTTCCACTCAATGTACCAATACACCGGGTGGTTTCTTCTGTAAGTGTAAAGATGGTTTCGAGCCTAATCTTGATTGTCGACCAGTAGGTGATCTTGGCCTTGGATCTGGAGTTATTCCTGATGGATCAATTAAATCATCACCATCAGAGCCAAATTATGCAAAAACATCGGTACGAATCAACTCTGAGAAAGGTTGGTGTGGTGCTATTCCTGAAAAGGGACGAAATTGGGTTCAAATTGATTTACGAGCTCAAACGGTTATTCGTGGTTTCCGTATTCAACCAGTTACCCGTGACGATGGTTCTCAAGCTTTTCCAGTAACAGTGCGACTTCAACACTCTAATGAGCTAACCGACCTTTTCCGTGATTACGCTGACCTATCCAGTCGACCAGTTCAATTCCGTCTCGCACCGAACGGTGGATCAGGCCTATCAATTGTTAACCTCCCGATTCCATTGGAAGCTCGTTACATTCGTCTTCTAATAATGGAATATGTTGCCGCTCCTTGTATGCGTTTTGAACTAATGGGCTGCTCACGACAAGATTGTACCGATGTTAACGAGTGTCTCGTTAAAAACGGCGGATGTGATCAGCGTTGTTCAAATTCACCTGGTTCGTTTAATTGTTTCTGTAACGCTGGTTATGAATTGTACACTCGAAATGGAACATCAAACTTTTTCATTCCACCAACGGAAACTGGACTCAAAGAGGGTGATCAATATCGATTGAATAAAACTTGTGTACCCAAGAATTGTCCCAGACTTGACCCTCCCGTTAACGGTAAAATTTTATCAACCAAGAAAAACTATTACTTTGGTGATATAATTTCATTCCATTGTGATTTTGGTTACCTAATGACCGGTCCGTCAAACTTATTGTGTACCTCTAATGGTGTTTGGAATGGTACAGTTCCTGAATGTGTTTACGCTTATTGTCCAACTCTTGAAGACGATTCATCGGTTGGTCTTAACTTCCGTTATAGTGAAGATCGATCAACAAAGTTAACCTCAGTTCCATATCTGTCAAATGTTACCGTTGAATGTGAACAAGAGGGTAAACCGCTTCGTGGTACCGCTTCAGCTTCATTCCGTCAATGTGTTTTTGACCCTAAAATGAGTCACCCTGAATTCTGGTTATCCGGTACAACACCAACTTGTCCAAGGGTCGATTGTGGTTTACCACCAAATACAACGGGTGCTTCATATGGTTTCTATGCTGATACCAAGTATCGAGCATCTTTCTTTTTCGGTTGCGAGGAAACATTTACCTTGGCAGGTAAAACCTCAAGAAACGATAATGTTATCCGTTGTGGTCCCGATGGTATCTGGGACTTTGGTGATTTAAGATGTGAAGGGCCAGTTTGCGCTGATCCAGGTCATTCTCCCGATGGACAACAATCAGCTTTATCGTTTGAACAAGGATCCCAAGTATCATTTTCCTGTAATAAACCAGGTTACATACCTTATTCAACGGATCCAATTACCTGTGTCAAATCAGCTGAGTGTAAGGTTGTCAGTCCAATCGGTATAACTTCAGGGTTAATTCCAGATTCGGCAATTAATGCGACCTCCCAACGATCCAATTACGAGGCTAAACATATAAGACTTAATTCAGCGACAGGTTGGTGTGGTCAACATGAACCTTTCACCTATGTAACCGTTGACCTTGGAAAATCGTATCGAGTTAAAGGTTTACTGGTTAAAGGTGTTATTACCAATGATGTTGTCGGCCGACCAACCGAGTTACGATTATTTTACAAGAATCGTGAATCGGACAGTTTTGTCGTCTATTTCCCTAACTTTAATCTCTCAAGCGCCGAACCAGGTAACTATGGTGAACTGACACATATTCCACTGCCAATGTCAATCACCGCTCGATATGTTATTATTGGAATTGTTTCATATCACAAAAATCCGTGCCTTAAATTTGAACTTCTTGGATGTGAAGATACAAAAGATTCCGTTTTATTGGGTTACAATGACGGTTATCCAGCTTGTGTTGACCAAGAGCCACCTCATTTCGTTAACTGTCCAACTGGTCCCGTTATGGTTCAAAAAGGAGCCACCGGACTTTTACCAGTAAACTTTTCGATTCCCATTGCCAAAGATAATTCCGGTTTTATTGTCCGATCAGAAATCCGTCCACCAGGCTTTAAACCTCCACAATTTGTTTTCAAAAACACTGTCGTTGAATATATTGCCTATGATACCGATGGTAATGTCGCCGTTTGCGCGGTAAACATAACCGTACCCGATGATACACCACCGAGTGTTGTTTGTCCAAAATCTTATGTCATTGAATTAGCGGAGGAGCAAGACGCTTATCGGGTTAACTTTAACAACACTTTACCCTCGATTAAAGCATTTGATAAATCGGGCGATGTTAAAATCTCACTTGTACCCGATACCGCTCTTATACCTTTGGGTGCTTATCGAAATGTTACCGTTATTGCCACTGATCTTTCGGGTAATGAGGCTCATTGTCATTTCCAAGTTTCCGTTCAAGCAGCTAAATGTGTCTCATGGTCATTATCCGCACCTCTTAATGGTGCTGTTGAATGTCTTCCCGATGAGCCCAATACCGGATTACGTTGTGTTGCCACATGTAAATCGGGTTACCGATTCACTGATGGTGTTACAGCTAAAACTTACGAGTGCTCCGCCGGTGGACCATGGACTCCAGAGGCCATTATACCCGACTGTGTTTCCGAGACGACTGATGAAGCCTCTTACGATGTTTCCGCTAAAGTTGAATATCGATCTGGTGGTTTTATCCCGCCAACTTGTTTACAACAATACGTTAATTATGTGGCCTCTTATTACAACTCATTGAATCAAGTACTTTCTGACCGATGTTCGGCCATTAACGTTCAAATGGAGATCAAATTTTTCAACACAACCGCTTTCGTACCTAAAGATAATCTCAATCAAATGACAATGGAATATATTTTAAGGATAATTCCTGCTGTTCGACAACCCTCATTATATGAAATTTGTGGTTACACTTTGGGTGTTATTTTTGATCTTTCGGTACCTTCAACCTCAGCTATTCTCGAACCTATTTTGAACATTTCCGCAACCCAAGTTGGTGGCACTTGCCCTGGTATTCAAGCACTACGATCTTCAGTTGAACGGGGATTCACTTGTAAAAATGGTGAAGTACTTAATATTCCTGCCGCTGCTCCTGGTTCAGGTGCAAGTCCACCTTTGGCCACAGTTCCACGGTGTCTTCACTGTCCAGCGGGTACTTATGCCGATACCAAGGCCCATAAATGTATCTCATGTGCTAAAGGATTTTATCAAGATACAACTCGACAACCTGTTTGCCGTAAATGTCCAGACGGAAGTTACACTCAAAATGAAGGATCTAAAAGTCTTGCTGAATGTGTACCCGTTTGTGGTTATGGTACTTACTCACTTTCCGGTTTAGTACCTTGTCTACAATGTCCAGATAACACTTTCTCAGGAACACCACCGAAAGATGGTTTCAAAGAATGCGCTAAATGTCCAGTTGATACTTTTACCTTTACTCCAGGAGCTATTTCAGCATCTTTATGTTCAAAGAAATGCCCTGCGGGTACTTATTCCGACACTGGACTTGAACCGTGTACAACTTGTCCAACACACTTTTACCAAGATAAAATTGGTTCAACCAACTGTACCGAATGTGATTCTAAGGCTAAAACTTTCCGACCTGGTGCTTTAAGTCCCGAAGCTTGTCAGCCAGTTGAATGTAAGTTTTTGATTAATTAACTTTTCCAATAACGATAATTAATCTCATCTCTCTCTCTCTCTCTCTCTCTCTCTCTCTCTCTCTCTCTCTCTCTATTTTCCCAATAGGTGGTAATCTTAAATGTAAACACGGTGGTATTTGTCTGATCCAAAACCACGAAGCGACCTGTTACTGTCCCGCCGGTTTTACTGGAAAATATTGTGAAAAAGATATCGATGAATGTTCATCCGATCCATGTTATAATGGCGGTTCTTGTATCGATCTACCTCAAGGTTACGTTTGTAAATGTCCAGCCGGTTATTCGGGTCTTCAGTGTCAAATTGAAAAATCTGAATGTACCGAAGGTGTTTGTCCAGAGCGAGCGATGTGCCAAGATCTTCCAGGCCGAGGAACCGTTAAATGTTTATGCCGATCAGGTTACGAGGGTCCAGGTTGTAATATAACCTCTGATCCATGTGCATCAACTGAACCCATTTGTCAAAATAATGGCCGTTGCCTGTCACTTCTTCAAGGTCGATTTAAATGTGACTGTCCACCCGGTTGGTCAGGTCGATTCTGTGAGATAAACATTGACGATTGTATTGAACAACCTTGTCTCCTGGGAGGTAATTGTACCGATTTAGTTAACGATTTCCGATGTACCTGTCCACCAGGTTTCACCGGTAAACGTTGCGAAGCTAAGATTGACCTTTGCTCATCTCAACCCTGTGCCAATGGACTTTGCGTTGACCGATTATTTTACCACGAATGTATTTGTGACCCCGGTTGGACTGGCGATTCTTGTTCCGTTAATATTAACGACTGCTCGCCCAATAAGTGTCTAAACAAGGGTGAATGTGTTGATCTAGTCGATGGATTCCGGTAAGTATCTGACCTTAGATCGGTTTTTTTATCTCTCAAATTCCAACCCAATCGATTCCCAACCCAGGAAACTTTATAAATATTTGATGAAATGCCCTTAGGGCTTGAAATCACCAAGTTCAACATCATTATTATCATGATTGCTACCTGGCAAAGATATTATATCAATCAAGGTGGAGAAACTTTAAAAAATATTAATGATAAATTATATTGATCATTTTTATTGATAATGATGAATTTTGTTTTTCTTACTCAGGTTAATCAGAATGAACCTTTTTAATTTATATAATTAGACATTTAAATATTTGCTTGATTGTCTTTTTATTATACTAATTACAATTTAAATATATCTGTTAATTGTTGAGGTGAAAAACATTGACAGCAAAGGACAATTTTTAATTTGTTAAAGTTTTGTTTCTTGTTTATTTTATTTTCCGTTATCATGGGAAATCTTGATTATCATGATAATTTGAAAATTAAAGTCAATGAACTTGACAATTAATATTCAAGACAATTACGAGTAAATTGTTAATTCATGCAGCTAATTATAATTCTGTAATTAACTTGGTAATATATTCAGAATTAATAATATGATTCTCAAAGTATTAATAACAATCGTTAATTTAATAATTTGTTTTTTTCTTTATCAACCAATGTGATTGTTAATATTTGATAAAAATTGATTAACTCGGTGATTAAGCAATTAGATGATTTTGATAATTTACTTGATTTGGGTTGGGTTTTGTTGAGAATTAAATCATTTCGTCTAATTGGATTTTAATTGTAATTGTTTTACTTTTCTCGTTAAATTATAGCTGCGTATGTGAGGCTGGTTATACTGGTTCGTTATGTCAACATGAGGTCGATGCTTGTGAAGCTAAACCTTGTCAAAATGGCGGAACCTGTTACGATCTTGTTGATGGTTTCATGTGCCAATGTCGACCTGGTTTTGTTGGCCTTCAATGTGAGGCTGAAGTCGATGAATGTGCCAATAATCCGTGTTTCCCACAAGGAACCGCTTCTTGTGTTGATCAAGACAATGGTTTCAAGTGTGAATGTCATGAAGGTTTTATCGGTGAATTTTGTGAGACAAACGTTAACGAATGTGCTTCCAATCCATGTCTTAATGGTGCTACTTGTGTTGATGGTATCAATGAATATCGATGTACCTGTTTACCTGGTTGGTCAGGTGAAAGATGTGACCAAGATATTGGACACTGTGAGCCTGATACTTGTCTTAATAATGCCAAATGTGTTGACCTTTTCCAAGACTTTTTCTGTGTATGCCCATCGGGTACTGATGGTAAACGATGTCAAACTTCACCACAAAGATGTATTGGTGATCCTTGTCAACATGGTGGTACTTGTCGTGACTTTGGTTCCGGTCTTAATTGTACCTGTCCTGCTCGTTATGCCGGTGATGGTTGTCATCTTGAATATCATCCTTGCCTTGACGGTGGTGTTTGTGCCAATGGTGCAACTTGCCGTGATCTTGGTGATGATTATCAATGTTTATGTCCACCTGGTTGGATGGGTAAAAATTGTGACATTGACGTACCCGATTGTGGTCCAAACTCTTGTCCACCAACGGCTTCTTGTATCGATTTAACAAACGGCTTCTACTGTAAATGTCCATTTAACATGACGGGTGAAGATTGTCGCAAGTCGATCAATATTGGTCACGATATTTATATTAACGATGAATCTCGATCATCATCAGCCGCTTTAACGGCACCATTTGAATTCGGAGAGACTGCGACCTCACTAACTGTCGCTCTTTGGGTTCAATATCATACACCTGATACTCTTGGAAATTATTTCACTCTCTACTCGGTTAACTCACCTCATCTTCCGGTCGGTAAAAAAGTTCTAATGTCCGGTGATCAACGAGGTATAACCATCTCATTTTTCCGTGGGGACAATTTTACCGATGTTTTCATACCCTATTTGGCCAATGTTCCCGTCAACGATGGTCAATGGCATCATTTGGTTGTCCTTTGGAACGGTGAAGAGGGAACTGTCACCCTAATAACCGATACCGCTGTCGCTGGAGTGGTCACTTATGCCTTTTCGGGAATGCGTTTATCATCAACACCTACTCATGGTTGGGTCGCTCTTGGTTCCGTTTTGGACGATGAAAATCGCGTCATTCCAAAGACCGGTTTCCATGGACGAATCTCAAGATTTAATATTTGGAATCGTCTTCTTGATATGTCATCTGAAATTCCATCGCAATTCCGAAGCTGTAAAAATGCACCGGTCATTTTCAACGGACTTTTACTTCGTTGGGCTGGTTATGATCGTATTGAAGGTACCGTTGAGAAAGAATCACCTGGTAAATGTGGTCAAAGAGTTTGTGACCGTGGTTTCGCTGGCGATGAATGTAAAACATTGGAACAAGATAAAACACCACCGAGAATAGTTTACTGTCCAGCCGATCTTTGGGTTCACAGTAAAAATGGATCAGCGTCCGTTGAATGGGACGAACCACAATTTGTTGATGATCTTAAATCCGTTCAAGTTATCCGATCACCAGCAGATATTGCACAAGGTCAAATATTCCCACCGGGTACTTATGAAATCTCATATGTTGCCGTCGATGAATCTGGTAACTCTGCCAAGTGCGACTTTAAGATTCGAGTGATTCGGGAACGATGTCCGATTCCATTACCACCGATCGGCGGTGAAAAGGTTTGCGGTGATTGGGGTAAAGGAGGAATGAACAAATATTGTAAAATCCACTGTAATCCAGGTCACGCTTTCGCTCAGCCCATTCCTGATTATTACGTTTGTGGCGAAGAGGGATTCTGGCGACCCACTGAAGACCCAATGAAGCCACTTATCTTCCCAGCCTGTGCTCCCGTTCATCCGGCACAAAAGATTTTCCGTATTGCTATGGCACTTCCATCTTCCGTTGTGTGCTCAGATTCGGGTAAACGAATTCTGAACTCGCGAGTTGCTGAAAATATTTTGAAAATCGATCGTGATTGGAAAATATGTTCAGATGAAACTCGAGGTACTTGTCGAGGATTAACAGTTGAAGTTCAATGTACCAAACGATCACCACGTCGAGAAGCTCGATCAACCACCGAAGAAGATGAAGATGTTTATGTTGTTGAGGTCGCTTTTCCGGCCAACAAAGAACCAGCAATTTCCAATCCATCTTCAGGCGAGAAAAATGTTCCAATCGATAGAATCATTAAGAAAGCCGTCTACGAATCTGCCATATTTGATGTTCGTGACACTTTACCAAATGTTGTACCCGATTTAACATCACTCCAATTGGTTACCGACTTCGCTTGTCCAGCAGGTCAAGTAGTCGCCGCACCAAATTGTGTTGAATGCTCTCTTGGTACTTATTACCAAGAATCGACCAAAACTTGTATTGAATGTCCAGTTGGTTTCTATCAAAATGAACTCGGTGCTCTTGAATGTCAACCCTGCCCAGTGATCTCCGGTAAACAAGGAATCACCGCACGCGCTGGATCACGATCACCAAACGATTGTAAAGCTCGTTGTACACCAGGCCAATATTACGATGAAGAGGCTCGAATATGTCGACATTGTGGTAACGGTTTCTATCAACCAAATGAAGGTTCATTCCATTGTATTCCTTGTGGTCAAGGTTTAACAACTCGAAGTGCCGAGGCCGTTTCACCTCAAGAGTGTCGACGTAAGTACTTTTCCCTGCAAAAAAAAATTCCAATTTAATTGATCATTTTCAAAAATTCATTCTCTCAGGCGATTACCTTTCCTCCTCTCACTTTAAAGATTTTTGATTAATTAATCAATTTTATCTCTTTAATTATATAGCTGAATGTAAACCCGGTTTCCAATTATCTGCACTTGGTGAATGTGAACCCTGTCCAATCGGTTACTTCCGACCTTACGGATTACATGAGTGTCGACGATGTGATAATGGAAAGACAACCGGATTCCTTGGTGCTTCTGACCGAAACCACTGTAACCTGAGTAAGTTTCAATTCTGAACCAGTTTTCAGTCTCTCAGATTGATCATCAATTTAATTCAATCCTTTTAATTATTTTCTTTTCTTTTTTTCTCCTTCATCAAAATTAACCTTTAGCTGTGTGTAACGAAGGTGAATATCTTCATCTTGAGAGCACCACTGGAAGCGAATCATGTGAATTATGTCCTAAGGGAAGTTACCAAGATTCTAAACAACGAGATACCTCATGTATCCCTTGTCCACCCGATACAACAACCAACCGAACAGGATCAACAAGCGAATCTCAATGTACTAATCCCTGTTTGGTAAACGGAAAGGTTCAACTTTGTCAGGCCAATTCTTATTGTGTTTTCCATAAGGAAACACAATCTTATGCATGTGAATGTAAACCCAAATATCGTAAAACTTATGACGATGAAGAGAATCCGGAAGAAACGGGTACCCCAAAGAAAGAGGTTTGCGTTTACGTTTGCGACAATTATTGTATCAATGGTGGACGTTGTTCCGTTAACCTGGAAACAAATCGACCTCAATGTGATTGTCCAGCAAACTTTTTCGGAGATAAATGTGAACGTAAATCAGAATTTGTTTACATTGCCGGTGGAATTGGAGCCGCTGTATTATTTATCATTCTAATGGTTCTATTGATCTGGATGATTTGTGTTCGAACCTCAACCTCACATGGCTCATTCGGTAAAAAATTATCAATTCCAACACTTCCAACACCAGGTTAGTGCAAATGATTCCCTTCGCATAATCGAAGTGCAAAAATTGACCAACCATTAGATCAGAAATATATTTATGATATTTTCCATTTTCGTACATTTTTCTAGGGGCAGGAACCATTGCAACCGATATTTATTCAACCTCAACCAACGGAGCTCAGCCCAACTTTTACTACGGAGCACCAGTACCTTACGCTGAAAGTATAGCACCAAGTCACCATTCAACGTACGCACATTATTATGACGACGATGAAGATGGTTGGGAAATGCCCAATTTTTACAACGAAACTTATATGAAGGAATCGCTTCATAATTCAAAAAATGCCAATGGAACCGCAACCCTTCAGGGTATTAACAATCCAAGTATTTATGGTAACAAAGAGGATCTTTATGATAGATTAAGAAGGCATCAGTATAACGGAAAGAAAGGAGGTAATTAGTTGATTTGATTGGTCTTTTTTAATTGTTTACCAATGATAAGAATTGTTTTTTATTAATTTTTGTTTCTCTTTTCATCTTTTTCTCAGATACAACAAGTGATAGTGAAGATCAAGGACAAAGTCATTGAGACCGAAATGAAGTTAACTCGAATAACAATTAAACTCTTAACAATACGAAATGAACAATTAATTAGGTTTTTGGTTTTTGTTTTTTTCTCGCAATCAATTTAGGATAAAATTTAATTCTCATTCTGTAAATATTTCCTCATATTCATTGATAATCCCAATATATATCAAGGATATAAATGGATTGTCATTCATACTCAACTTTGTTTTCATCATCAAAAAAAACTTCATCTCATCCATTGACCACCATTAATTAACAATCAATTGTTTACAATCTAATAAACAATTTGATAACGATATATATTATCAATAACAATCAACAACACTTATCCAAATTAAGTGTTCAAATAAATGTTTTTAACTACTTTTCAAAGGTTAATAATCATCATCATCAACAACAACAACAACCATTTGCCTTAACCATCAAAACACAATTAAAAGATTAAGGACTCTAAGCAATTTAAATTTGGCATCAACAATTTGATTGATCACAATTAAGTGCATTAATGTATCAAATTAATTTAATTACCCATAGACCGTAATTGTGAAAACTAATCTAACAACAAATTAGATTATTAATATATTTTGGTTAAATTGTCTCCAATTGGAAGCATTTTCTGTAAATCGAACTGAAAACAAAAGTTCTAATTTTCTACTTTTGTAATAACTTTCTCTCTCTCCTCTCTCTCTCTCTCTCTCACTATTTCCTTTGCTTCCTATCATCCTCGTCATCCTGATCTTCCCTTTTACCTCAATCGATCTGAAAACAATCAATTAATTTGAGAAAATAAATAGAAAACAATTTTTTATTCTACCCGAAAATTGTCGTTATTTACGAACATGGAAAACAATTGCAAGTGAATAAGTCGATGAAGTTTCGAGCGATTCGATCAGGTCACTTTGAGACGATTCTCAACTTTACGATTTGTCTTTTAATTTTTCGTTTTCAAACTTTCTTTTATATCTCAAAGCAAAACACGAATCCCAATGTAACTTTTGAATGTGTTTTCGCAAATAACCATAGTTGAAACTTTCGTATGAACAAAACAACATCGAAGTGTAATTTTCTCGTTGTCGAATGTGACTTTCTACAGTATATTGATGTCCTTGAAAGGTGTACTTTTCCTACAGAATCCACAGAGACACTTATAGAGATGACGTCTGGTCTACAGATTTTCTTTATTTCTGCGAAATGTTCCCAGGTTTAGGTACTGTGAACCTTTTCGAATGAACAAAATAAAAGTTTTCATAATTCGATTTTCCTCTCCTCCAATCTCTAAATTGATTAGTAATTAATCACTGAACGAACTTTAAACATTAATCAATACGAGAGATGAAAACAAATCACAAGATAATTATGATACAATGATTAGAAAGATAACAACAATCAACAGAGACAGATATGAAACACAATTAAAACAGGAAAAGAAAACCAATCAAGATATTGATCACAAAGTTTTTCGTTTTGCTTCTACATATATGATTATTAACCTGGAGATTGGTGCTCTATGGAACTTTTAGTGTCAAATCATTTTTGTTAAAATGGTAATTTCTCTTTGTTGTTACCAAATTCACCAAATTTTCAGTCAAATTAGTCATATTAGTCGTTCAAAGTCTCATTTTCTTCCTTATCTCCCTCTCCCTCTCTCTCTTTTTCTCTTCATCATTAGTTAGAATCTTTATCAACTCTAAATGAGTGAGAAAAAGGAGACAAGAGAAAGAAAAGTAGAAAAGAGAAAAAGTTTCGTTCTTTTTAGAATTTATCATTTCTCTGTGAATAAACAAAGAAAAAACCAAATCTCGGTTACAGTGTTTATCTTTTGGAGAGCAACTATCAACATCTAATTATTAATCGGACTAAAGGTATTAAGATAAAATTTTTAATCTTCTCTGGTCTTCATCTTTTTTGTTACATGTTCATCACCATTCTCACACTTTCATTTTAACATCTCTCTCTCTTCCTGTTACTCTTTCTCTCTCGCTTTTTCTCTTCTCATTTTTCATTTTCTCGCTTTTTATCTTCTTCTTCCAATTCTAGGTTTGTTTCGCCCTCTGTCACTGGTTTTACCTAATTTGTTGAGTGTCTGATTAATTGCTCTCTCCTTTTCCTCCAATATTCCTTGTAACCTTGTTCATTTTCACTAAAAAGTATTGACTCATCTTACTACCACTTAGAATGAACAGTTAAAGCTTAAAAAGCTTCTCTTTAGAATTTTCTCTCCATTTCTCTGTTTTGGTTTGTTTTCTTCTAACTCTTCCCTTTTGAGTGTTACTTTTCTCATGGTGTACTCTGTTATTAACGAACATGATTCCAATGAAATTTTTAAATTCACAGAGATGATCTTAAAGAATTGATGGACCAAAGTCGCGCTGTCCTCGTTTGGTTGGTTTTCTGCCAATAGAGATAAACTGCCATTACTACGCTAAATGGACTCAACGTTCTTGTGAAGAAATAGAATCAAATTTGAATTACGTCAAGGGAAAGGAAGACCAAGAGGCTCTAATTGATTAATGAGGACGTCGTTGATGGATGGCTATTATCCCAATTTCTGATGTTGTGATCGCCGGTGTACTGATAAAATAAAGTTCCAACAAAACTGCTCAAATCTGGTGAAGTATTAATTCTCAACGGATAAAAATTTTCATTCAGTTAAAGAAAAAGCTCGTTTTCGTTCCTGCCATCGGTAAAATGACTATTGTTATGTTACAAAGAAATTTAATGCGACTATATGATTATCGGAGATGCTCATTTCCGATTTTCTTAATTGTTGAAATTGAAATGTACACTTTAAAAACGATCATCAAAAAAGCTTAACTATTAATTATTACAAAGTCCAAATACATTTTAATCAGACAAGTGAATGTATTTACAAAGTCAATTCTCTGTGCACATATGTAATTAAAAGAAGCGATAAATTTTGATTTTAATTGTTTTGTCTTCGTTAAAAAATTAGAATTTAAAAAAAAGCAAGATAATTTCAAGTCATCGAACAAAATTTTGTTCATCTCACTCCAATATTTGTCGGCAACAATCTTTGAAATAAAACAAACAAACCATTAATTGGTCAATTGATTAATCACTTAATTCTAATTTTTTAATCTTAAGATGGGTAAATTGAGCAAATTGACTTTCAGCAAAACCTTTTTGAGCAAATTTTTTGGGCTAAAACAGAATAGAAAATATTACCTTCAGTTTAATCAAAAATGAATTGACCTTAAATTTTGGGTCCGAAATTGCGGTTAATCAAACAAATATTAGTACAATGGACAAATTTGGAAAACTAATTATTTTTTATAAAAAAGATTTCGTTTAATTTTTCATTTCGATAAATTTGTGACAGTATTAAGGTGCGATTAATTGTTAAATTTCTGATTGTGTGAGTATAAAAATATACTTATTAAAAATTAGTTGACATTAATTAGCTGCTCGAGTGACCAAAAAGTAGACACGGTGAAAATAGATTGTAATCAAATCAACGATATTGTAACTTTATTATTGATTTGATTCGAATCTTGATTGGTAAATTAATTTAGTAATTAACGATAAAGTAGTTAATCATCACAATTCCTCCTAATTAATCATAAAAGTTATTATTTACGAACATAGGAAAACAGTTGCAAGTGAATAAGTCGATGAAGTTTCGAGCGATTCGATCAGGTTACTTTGGGACGATTCTCGCAATCAATTTAGGATAACAATTTAATTCTCATTCTGTAAATATTTCCTCATATTCATTGATAATCCCAATATATATCAAAGATATAAATGGATTGTCATTCATACTCAACTTTGTTTTCATCATCAAAAAAAACTTCATCTCATCCATTGACCACCATTAATTAACAATCAATTGTTTACAATCTAATAAACAATTTGATAACGATATATATTATCAATAACAATCAACAACACTTATCCAAATTAAGTGTTCAAATAAATGTTTTTAACTACTTTTCAAAGGTTAATAATCATCATCATCAACAACAACAACAACCATTTGCCTTAACCATCAAAACACAATTAAAAGATTAAGGAAAACATTCAACTCTAAGCAATTTAAATTTGGCATCAACAATTTGATTGATCACAATTAAGTGCATTAATGTATCAAATTAATTTAATTACCCATAGACCGTAATTGTGAAAACTAATCTAACAACAAATTAGATTATTAATATATTTTGGTTAAATTGTCTCTCCAATTGGAAGCATTTTCTGTAAATCGAACTGAAAAACAAAAAGTTCTAATTTTCTACTTTTGTAATAACTTTCTCTCTCTCTCTCTCTCTCTCTCTCTCTCTCACTATTTCCTTTTGCTTCCTTTTATCATCCTCGTCAATCTGATCTTCCCTTTTACCTCAATCGATCTGAAAAACAATCAATTAATTTGAGAAAATAAATAGAAAACAATTTTTTTATTCTACCCGAAAATTGTCGTTATTATTTACGAACATGGGAAAACAATTGCAAGTGAATAAGTCGATGAAGTTTCGAGCGATTCGATCAGGTCACTTTGAGACGATTCTCAACTTTACGATTTGTCTTTTAATTTTTTCGTTTTCTTTCAACTTTCTTTTTATATCTCAAAGCAAAACACGAATCCCAATGTAACTTTTGAATGTGTTTTCGCAAATAACCATAGTTGAAACTTTCGTATGAACAAAAACAACATCGAAGTGTAATTTTCTCCCGTTGTCGAATGTGACTTTCTACAGTATATTGATGTCCTTGGAAAGGTGTACTTTTCCTACAGAATCCACAGAGACACTTATAGAGATGACGTCCTGGTCTACAGATTTTCTTTATTTCGGCGAAATGTTCCTCCGGGTTTAGGTACTGTGAACCTTTTCGAATGAACAAAAGAAAAGTTTTCGCAATTCGATTTTTCTTTCTCCCTCCAATCTTGATCAATTTGAACAGATCTCGATTTATTAACAAGGGTTCTCGAAGTGTTTCAATTTTCTTTGCATTTTCCAATAAAGATTTCGCCGATGATGATAGTCCAAGTCTGGAAAATTTTCTCATCACGAGTTTGTTATTATTATTATTATTATTGTTCTCATCTATATTTTCAGCCACTTCCTCATCATTATTATCCACATCACTACGTTGATCAACAAGACAATTAACTTTTTCCATGTTGTTATATAAGAAAACACCACAAACAAACTGAACAATTAACACGGAATTGTATTGGACTGGAACAATTTAGAAAACAATCACTGACTGGTCACCACTTATTTCTTGTGTCGATCAATCAAACTAATTCGTTTTCCTATCAATAAATTCACAGAGATTAAGAGATTAGATTAACAATCAAAGGACTTGATAAGCAATTTTCGTTTCGACTGTTAAGTTAATTGTTTCTTGATCTTTCGTCGCTATTTATTTTCACACGAGAATTGTTATCAATTTAATCTGATTGTTTACTCTTGATAATATTTATATAAATATAAAAGTACAACTATTTAAATAGAATTGATTTATTAACGAGATTACAGTTGTAAATATCGAGAGAGAAAAAAATTATCAATGAAAAAAAATGTTATAATTATGATGAAGATGCGACAAGACTATAACGGTTGTTGGCATCAATTGTGTTTCCATAATAATTTTCACTGTGAAAGAGATTAAAATACAAACAATTAGATTATTAGATTAGGTGATTAGTGTTGGAATTGATTTTTGATTAAAGTTATACTCACCATCCTCTGACATTTTTAGGATTATCACAAGCGCCTGTTTCTGAATTGAAAACGAAACCATCATCACAGCCTAATAATCGTGGTGTCCTTGGTCCCGATGGGTCAGTTGTGACCGGGATACAAGCGTACAACATTTTACAATCAGTTGGATGAGCGTATCTTGGATTACCAAATAACTGTAATTCCCGTTGGGTTGCTGGGGGACAAGTGAATCCTAATAATGCTTCAGCTGGACATTCGGGTGTGTTTTCAGGCCAATCGCAGTTACCGTTCACTCGGTTGTAGGCCAATCCTGAGGCACACGATTTGACATGAGCTTCACCGTTACCACATTCAATGAAACGGGTACAGTCTCGAGGGTCAGGGAACATACCATTTTGTCGTGGACACTCACCGGTGGGTTTAGGAGGTTCTATTAGAATAGATGGAAAGAAAATTGAATTAATCGATTAAATCAAATGATCCAATGATCGAATGATTAGTTGATTGGAATTGGAATAAAGTAAAAAAGTAAAATGAAGAATTAAAAACTTTTCTTCCGATCGAATCACGAACGAACAAGTTTTCATCGTCATCTAAAATTATATCTAAATTACAACTTTAATTGTAAAAGATCAGATAATCAAGGTATTAATTGCCGTGAGAAACAGACTGATTAACAAGAGGTTTAGTTGTATGATTAACTAAACTTGATTAATTGATCTTTAAAGACAAAAGCGACTCGCGGAATGAAATTAAATGAATAACAATCAACTTACGAAGATTTGGTCGGTTTGAACAATCAATTCCGAAAGGTAATTCACACTTTAATCTTGATGGATTACCATATTCATTGAAGACTAATCCATCATCACATAATCCTTCATTGACCACTTGACCATTCTCACAGATATAATAACGATCACATTGAGATTCGTGAGCAAAATAACCAGTTCCACGTCCACCTCCGCATTGTGAGGCCACTAAATTAAGGATTGACCATCAAGATAATTAAAAGGAGAAGATAAGAAATAAATAAAAGTGTTAAATTGTAATTAATTTAAATTGTTCTCAATCAAATGAAAACTCAACCAACACACAAAACAAAAGTGGTTGTTACATGTAAACATAAATACTAAACATAAACAAGAGGGTAGCAATTAACTGATCCTTTTTGCTTAATAATCACTTGTTAAATTGTAAGTATTTTTAGGATTGTTGATTGTTGATGATTACGATTATGATTAAATGATGAGTAACAATTAGATAAACAGAATGTTAATCATTTTTCTCATAAAAACAAATTGGTATCAAACAAAAAGGTGGATATTTAAAGTGTTACGATTTCTACCAACAAGATTGTGTTCTCGTTTTTAATAATGAACTAAATTAAAATCATAACGATAATAAATTAGTTTATTATTAAATAGCTGGAGGGTTAATTGTTTTTCACTTTAATTGGAACCTTTTTCTCATAACTTTCAACCTTTTTGGGTTCAAATTGTAGGTGATAAGTCAATAGATGAGAATAAGTTTCTCTCTCTCTCTCTCTGATTCATCCTTGTTTTTTGATTGCTTACAATTTACATAAATTGTTGGTGATTAAGATGAGGATATGAGTGAAATGTGGGAAATGGAACAATCAATTGATTATGACAATTTAACAATTAGATGGAGAAAAAGGTTTCACTGATTTATCTCAATTCTATCAACGATTTCCTTGTTTAAAATGATAATGATGGTGATTAAGGGACAATAATAATGGTTTCTGTTGATTATTGATTGTTAAATTGTCTTGAAACTATCAATTTTTGATTATCAGAACAATTTACTGATTCAAGAAATTGGTAATTATATGATTAACTGTCTGGGATTTAAATTAAATTTAAGGTTAGGTCGGGAATTTGATGTTAGTGGTTAACCGATTCATGAATGGAAATTGATTTAATATTAATAATACATTAACTGTATTCGTCTTTACCTAATCAATTATCTTTCCAATGATACAACAATTGTTAGTTATTAATTAGAAATTAATACCACACAGCAATTAAAGACTAATTAGTTAATGGTTCCTATTGAATGTTATGAATCAAGAACAAGAGATTATCAAATTTGATAACAAAATAGAAAACAATTAACAAAAAATTCACTCTGATCAAACTAATTGAGATCATTTTACAAAAAAAAATCGATAGAAATTGATTGAAGTATTTTAAAAATTGTTAGCAATTAAAGAAAATTAAATCATCAACTTTTAGAGGGAAAATTATGTAACATTGGAAAAGAAAAAAATTTGGCGCGTTAATCAAATTCGTTAATTGGGAGAAGAAGAAAAATTAATTAACTTACCTTGTTGGACGATTAAAGTAACAATTAAGGTAATAAGATGAAATTGATTCATTTTGTTAATGGAAAATTAATTTTCGATAAATTTGATGACCACTGGACTGAAGTGAAAGTAAAAATGATGAAGAAAAGGGAAGATGCTGGAGATTCATCTCACTTTTTTATCTTCTCTCTCTCTCTCTCATCATCATTCATCTCCCTTCATGGAATCGTCTTCTTCCTCCCTGAATCTCCATCTTCTTCTCGGTCATCCCACTCTCTCTCTTTCTCTCTCATCATCTCCTTCCTTTTCGTGTTTTCGTTTTTCAAAACGAAAACTGGATTCATCCAGAAATCACGTTCTTCAATTGCTCTCCTCGAATTTGATTTTCATTTCGATTTTAATTATAAGGGACAATTAGTGTTCTGATAAATTCTGACCTTGTCTGGACAATCGGTGATCATTAATTTCACTTTTTAATTTTTCGCTACCTTGATGTTTATTATTTCCTTCATTGTAACTGTGAGCATCCTCTTCAATTAATTAATCATGATTAGAGTCAAGTCCAAATCGAAACTATTAAAACTAAACCAAACTTTATGAACTTTTTAAATCAACTGTTAAAATGTGGGTTTTGACAATTAATTGGAAAACATTCACTTGACCAAACAATTAAAAGATCAACAATCAACCCTCAAAGATGATTAAACAATCAAATTAGATTCTCCCGATTGAATTCATATATTGAAAAAAAAAATGAACGATAACATTTCTGTTAATTGTGATTTAATTTTGTGAGAAAACAAAAACTGACCAATTAAATTGTTAACAACTGGTTAGTTTAATTGTAAATTCTAATTGTATCATCTTCGTGACTTTAACTCTCAATTAATTATTCATTCTCATAATCTAGATTTAGATTATCTCAATTTAGAATTTAAATTGTTTGTTCAATCAAATTGTCAAACATTTAAATGTAGTAACAATTAATTCAATTAAAAGCATTTGGTTAATCCAATAAATTATTATTTTCCATTAGAAATCATTTTAAATCCAATTAATTCAAGTATAAATTGCAATTATTTTCACTTTAATTATTCATTTATTGTTGTTAACCTAATTGTTGTTCCAAGAGCAATTATAAAATCAACCAAGAAATTAATTGTTTCCTCTTAATTGTAAACAAAGTTTCTAAAAATTAGAGGAACAGTTTTACTCGTCAACAGAATTAGTTTCATATTCTGGTTTTAATTGTGAGTTTCTTTTGAAAATATAAGCCAATTAGTCTTAATTGTTGCTTCATATTTTAAGTTGAGGCTCATCATTGAATTAATTGTCGCATGTTTGTTTTTAAGCCTTGATTTTGTTCAGCAATCAATTAGGATGTTTCTTAAATTAGCATTGAAGCTTTTCCTTGGTTAATAAGAAAATCCTTTCTCGCGTTAATTGATTGTTAATCAAATCTTTATCTTGATCTCCCTTGTTCGTATTAATTGAGTGAAATTTAAATTATTAATCTCATGGTGGTTTATTGTTGCCATCACCGAGAGTCATAACAATCAAATAAATCTGCAATCAGTGTTGATAATCATCTGATCCGCTCGAATCAAGGTCTTCGTCCATCATTATCTCTTGATTGTTTACCCATAGTAACCAAACAATTAATGCCAAGAGCTTCATCTACATAAAAGTAAACAAAAACAAACAATTAAAATGTGAAAAAATAAGAAAAATTGATTTGAAGTGAATCGAAACTTTTGATCGTGATCATAGACAATAAAAAATCAATCATTCTAATGATTATTACCTCAACTGATAGTAAATCAAAGAATCAATATATTAGAAGTGAATCAAAAGCATCGTTATAGAGTTGGAATACTCTTTCATAATTTATTCACCTTTGACCTTGTTATATTTGCCTATTCTCAGTAGAGGTCAGAACTTCAATATTCTTCTACCTTTGGTAGATTTTGTTTACGAATTGACAATTGAATGTTCAAATTTGATCTGATTGTTGTGAGAGAATTGGAAGACTTTATCATAGAAAAGTGTAAATTGAATTTACAGGGTCAACAAATGTTCCACATCCAATGGAGATTTTCAAGTGGAATCTTGACCTTCCGAATGAGATGAACTTTGGCCTTCTCCGAGTTTTCTTTCACTTGTCACACCTCCGACAACTTCTTTCTTTGAACCAGTGTCTATCCCAAGGAATTTTTCCATTATACTCTGGTAATCATCCTCTATACTTGGAATATCAATAGTGACCTGCGAAAGCAGTGACGTGAGATCATCCAGACGTGACATTCGAGCCATTAAATCTTCGATCGCTGAGTCTTTAGTTTCTTCATTCTTTTCTTCCGTCAATTGATCTTTCTCTTCAACAGTTTCCTCTTCATCCGAGCCATCAGTTGGAACCTCTTTAGAAATTTGTGAAGATTCAGACGGAGAAGTAGACATGTTGGTTAACTAATCTTGGAGATTCAGCCAATTTCCGATCACAATCTTCAAAATTGATGAAACAAAGAAAGAAAATAAGACATTAATCATTAATCATTAATCACGAAATAGTAAATTATTTACAAAATATTAAAGTTAATGAAAATGAAGAGATGAAAACAATTCTCAAAATTGAGACTCACCAAAACAAAGGAAATTGAAACAATTGAAGCAAAGAAAGAAAAGAGAGAAGATAATTACCTAAATAAAATCGATAATTGTGATTGAAGAATCAGTTAAATTGTATAACTGGTTTGGAAATTCAGAATAATCAATCTAATTCGTCAGGAACAATTTCTTAATTTAGAAAACGTTGATTAGGTGAAGAGACTGAAAAGAAAATCAGTCAGCTGAAAAAAAGAAGGGAAAAAAAGAGGGAAAAACGAAAACAGGTTAACATGAACGTTACAATTTCCATCTTCATTTGTTTACTGTTTTTCTCCTCGGTGGTTACAATTAAAGTCTAAAGGTAAATCATTTTCAACAAATTCTTAATTTATTCCAATTGATTGTTTTATCTTCACAATTGATTATCCATATTCTATCGGTAATCGAAAGGATCTTTGGAACAATTTAAATCTATTTACCATTAAGATGATTTTCTCTTTTCTATTCTCTCTTTTTGTTTCTATTCTATTCTATGTTTGTTTACTTGATATTTTGTTCTTTGTTTTAATTTACCCTCGATATTGATTTGATTCTTTTCTCTTTTTTTGGTTAACCATTAAATCAACTGATTCTCATCTATTCATTTTCTTAGAAATAGAAAAATTACCCTTGGACAATAATAGTGAGTGTGAAGAAAATAGTTGACGTTGACTATATATTTTTCCATCCATTAGGAACCAGAAAACCGGTTGATTGTTATATTACCTTTTCTAATTCCCGAATGTTAAATACACTTGAAATTCTTAATTTGATTTTAATTTCATATTAATAGTTGACGATTTTTTCTTCTTCTTCTACAACTCTCACCTTGATGTCTATTACTAACCAAAATTCCAGTGTTACATGTTGTATTGTTTTTCTCATCATCCATCTTGATTTACTGATTTATTAACTTGAAATTGTCAAAAATTTTAGATTGTGTGTTATAACTTGTACGTCAAGAATTTCTTATTTATACCTGTTTAGTTTCTTAAATTAGCTTTGTGCTTATTTCCTCAATTAATTGATCTCTTATTGAATCTCCATTCTTTCCAATATTCTTTTCATTGTTAACTTACCTTTATTTGATTTTCCATCTTATATAATATTTACTTTCACTCTATTAATTTTTCTCTTCTTCCTTTTTTCTTTTCATGTCTGATCTTTTGCCCTTCCGTGAATTTGGTGTTTGGATGCTGATTGTTCACTATTAACACCATTAATTGGAATTGGAAACAAATCTTATTCTATCTCTCTCTTTCTCTTCTCTACAACTTGACCCAATCTCAATTCTTGGTTTTATCTTCCATCATCATCATCATCTTTTATCCTCATTCTTGATCATCTTTTTTTCTCATCTTTACCTGTTGTTACTCCTCAAGTCATGTCCAGTGAGGTGGCAACTGAAGTACCTTTTACAAGACGAAAACGAACAAAACTTGGACAATATTGGGCAACAATGGGATTCATTTTTCAAATCATTCGTGACATTGATCCTAAATTAAAGTATTTAATTGATACTTTTACTCTTCTCGGTTTAATATGGTCAACAAAAACCATCTTCTCACTTGCTGGATCCACTTTGAATGGTAAGTGTCAATGGATTTTACCAATTTTAAGCTCACAGTTTTTTTGACACTTTGTTGGTTCTCTCTCATTAAAGGTCTTAGAGTGTTTGTTTGGTCTCGATTGTGGAGACTCAATTTGAAAAAGAAATACGGAGAATGGGTCGTCATCACTGGTGCCACCGATGGAATTGGTCTGGAATATGCAAGAGAATTTGCTTCTAGAGGTCATTCGTTGATTCTTGTTGGACGGAACGAAACTAAATTAGAAAACGTCAAACGTCAACTATCATCGTTAATCTCATCAAATAAAATCGTCACCATTCAAGCGGATTTCAATGATTCTACTCCTGAGGTTAGTGTGAAATAGAAAAAAAAACAAATTCTTTTCCTTGTTCATGTGATAATTTGGATCAATTTTCTATGTGTTTCAATTAAGCTTTTCAAAAGAATCAGTTCAGAAATTGAACCTTACACTCAAGAGATTGGAATATTGGTTAATAATGCTGGTGTCATGTACGAATCTCCAAATCGATTCCTGGATCAACCGGAAGACATGTTATGGCAACACGTTAAAGTGAACATCACTGGAGTACTTATGATGACTCGAGTTGTACTTCCTGGAATGGTTTCTCGTCGTCGCGGTCTCGTCATCAACATGTCAAGTATCGCTGGTTACAAACCATTGCCCTTGATGGGTGTTTACTCAGCCAGTAAGGTAAGAATCAATTTCCAATTGAAAATAATTCTTGGATTCAAACCTATGAACTGATTTGCTATTTTTCTCTATTCTGTCAAATTCTGAATTTGGTTAGAAATTCGTTGAATGGTTCAGTGAAACTTTAGACTACGAATATTGTAAAAGTCATAATATCGATGTTCAAACTTTGGTTCCTTCTTACATTTCCACGAAAATGGTCAAATGGAGTAACTTCCTTCAGAAACCAAATATCACCACTCCCGATGCTCGGACATTTGCTCGATCAGCTATCGCTACAATCGGTGAGTTAATCATGCATTTTAATTGGCGATCAATGTGTTAACCTTTAACTTTAATTATCTTTTTAAAGGTCGATCCAAATTTACTACTGGATATTGGACTCATGGTCTTCAATGGTTCGCATTTGATTGGTTGACACCATCTTGGATTTATTCATTCATAAGTTGGAATTACCTGAGAAATTTAGATTCCAGTGGTCGTCGGGCAAAAGACACGTAATTTAGGTGACAATTAATCAAAGTACATTCCAGATCACTAATCATTATTATCGAATTCAATTGAATATATCTCAATACACTCGTTATACTTTTGTGATTAATTAGGAGGAATCGTGATGATTAACTACTTTATCGTAAATTACTAAATTAATTTACCAATCAAGATTCGAATCAAATCAATAATAAAGTTACAATATCGTTGATTTGATTACAATCTATTTTCACCGTGTCTACTTTTTGGTCACTCGAGCAGCTAATTAATGTCAACTAATTTTTAATAAGTATATTTTTATACTCACACAATCAGAAATTTAACAATTAATCGCACCTTAATACTGTCACAAATTTATCGAAATGAAAAATTAAACGAAATCTTTTTTATAAAAAATAATTAGTTTTCCAAATTTGTCCATTGTACTAATATTTGTTTGATTAACCACAATTTCGGACCCAAAATTTAAGGTCAATTCATTTTTGATTAAACTAAAGGTAATATTTTCTATTCTGTTTTAGCCCAAAAAATTTGCTCAAAAAGGTTTTGCTGAAAGTGAATTTGCTCAATTTACCCATCTAAAGATTAAAAAATTAGAATTAAGTGATTAATCAATTGACCAATTAATGGTTTGTTTGTTTTACTTCAAAGATTGTTGCCGATAAATATTGGAGTGAGATGAACAAAATTCTGTTCGATGACTTGAAATTGTCATGCTTTTTTTAAATTCTAATTTTTTAACGAAGACAAAACAATTAACCGAAAGATTGACTATTTAATTAGAAGCATTGGTGTGTAGACGAAGACTGAAGTTTTTTTCTTTTCCTTTCCAAATTAACGTTTAATTTGATATTTTGATATCTCTTTCTCTCTCTGAATCTTTTTGTTGGTAACTTGTTCTTTACCTGAATAGTTTGATTGTGAAAATAATCCAAATATCATCAACTTGGATGTCCAAACAATTTAATCGCACCTTAATACTGTCACAAATTTATCGGAATGAAAAATTAAACTAAATCATTTTTATAAAAAATTAGTTTTCCAAATCGTCAATTTAAACAACAAATTTCATCAAAATTTATCGCTTCTTTTAATTACATATGTGCACAGAGAATTGACTTTGTAAATACATTCACTTGTCTGATTAAAATGTATTTGGACTTTGTAATAATTAATAGTTAAGCTTTTTTGATGATCGTTTTTTAAAGTGTACATTTCAATTTCAACAATTAAGAAAATCGGAAGCGGAAAGGAGCATCTCTCCGATAATCATATAGTCGCATTAAATTTCTTTGTAACATAACAATAGTCATTTTACCGATGGCAGGAACGAAAACGGAAGCTTTTTCTTTAACTGAATCGAGAAAATTTTTATCCGTTGAGAAGTTAATTGCAACTACACCAGATTTGAGCAGTTTTGTTGGAACTTTAAACTTTTTATCAGGCACACCGGCGATCACAACATCAGAAATTGGGATAACATCTTCCAATGTTTTATCAGTCGAGGTAACTCGGTGTTTCTGTTTACCTGGTCCTCGATGAAATTGAAGGATACCATCTAAATCAACAGAAAATGTTTTAGCTCCATCATTGGCAAGTAGAGCGGCAAGTGGTCGGCCAACAACTTCACTTCGGTTAATCACTGTGATTACTTTTCCATTTAATTGATCACCATAGTCAAGTTCATGATTATAAACACCAAGATGATCTAGAATCTGAAAAGGAATAAAAGAAAATACAAAATAACGAGTTAAGTATCGCTGGTTTATCATTTAATATGAGAGAAAAATTTACCTTAACAATGGCCAAAGGTGTACAGGGGATGATTGACTTTTTCTGGACATCAATGAACCTTATATTGTGGTACATGTTGAATCTAAAGGTATGGCAAAGACCTTCAACATCTTTAAATGGTGAGACACAATTTTGAATGTACTGATCATGACCACCGCCAAAAACGGGATAATAGACCATAATACCATCAACCCGACGATCCTCATTAGCATCAATTAGAGCCTCTTCCAGGTCTTCCCTTTCCACTTGACGTAATTCAAATTTGATTCCTATTTCTTCACAAGAACGTTGAGTCCATTTAGCGTAAGTAATGGCAGATTTATCTCTATTTGCAAGAAAACCAACCAAACGAGGACGAGCGCGACTTTGGTCAATCCATTCTTTAAGATCATCTCTGTGAATTTAAAAAATTTCATTGGAATCATGTTCGTTAATAACAGAAATCACACCATGAGAAAAGTAAACACTCAAAAATAGAAAAAGTTAGAAGAAAACAAAACAAAACAGAGAGAAATGGAGAGAAAAATTCTAAAAAGAGAAGCTTTTTTCGGCTGTTCGCTGTTCATTCTAAGTGGTAGTAAGATGAGTCAATACTTTTTGATGAGAATAGAACAAGGTACAAAAAAGAACATTGGAGGAAAAAAGAGAGAACAATTAATCAGACACTCAACAAATTAGGTAACAAACCAGTGACAGAGAGAAAGGGAGGCCGCAACAAACTTAGAATTGGAAGAAGACAGAAAAAAAGAGGAAAGAGAAGATGAGAAATGGGGGATCATTAACCTGTAAGTATTGGCAATTTCTTTGACATCGACAACACGACAAGTTGAGTCAAGTGAAGATGGTGATGATGATGATGATACTGGTGAAGAAGATTTAACAATTGGAGCTTCAAGTAAACTAGAAGATGAACAGGAAGTTGAAGAGGATGAAGAAGAGGAAAGTGAAGATGTTGATGATGAGAATGGTGGGAAAATGGCTGCAATGGCGGCTGCTTGGGTGATCTCAGTAGTTGTTTTCATGGTTCGCGATGAGGTTGATTTCTTTGATTTACTTTTACTTGTTAATCCTTTTTCCTCAAGAGTTTCCGTTAATCCTATAGCAACAGATGATGATGAAGTTGAAGGTAAAGACAATGATGGTTCTTGTTGGTCAACAGGTTCATTTATTGTTCTATCATAAGTGTTTCGCAATGGTTCTGGTGTAGATGTTGATGCAATTAATCCAGGAGGTGATGGTGTTGAAGAAAAGGGTGAAGTTGATGGTGAAGATTCAGGGGAAGAGGAAGAAGATGACAATGGAATAACTTGTAACTGTTGCTGAGTCTCTTTTGTTGGCAAAGGATAATCCATGTTTCCAGTAGCACACAAACACCAAGACAGAGAGAGAGAGAAAAAAAAGATAAACAGAGAAGAATAGAAAAACAAAATTAACACTTAATCCAACATTTAATTTGTAACATGTAATGTGAGAAGATTTATGAAGAGACAAAGAGAGAAAATGAAAGATGAGGAAGAGAAAAAGCGAGAGAGAAAGAGTAACAGGAAGATAGAGAGAGAGAGAAAGAGAGATGATTAAGGTGAAGTGATGAGAATGGTGATGAACATGAAAAGTAACAAAAAAAGAGATGAAGACCAGAGAGAAGATTAAAAAATTTTATCTTAATACCTTTAGTCCGATTAATACTTAGATGTTGATAGTTGCTCTCCAAAAGATAAACACTGTAGCCGAGATTTGGTTGTTTCTTTGTTTATTCACAGAGAAAATGATAAATTCTAAAAAGAACGAAACTTTTTCTCTTTTCTACTTTTCTCTCTTGTCTCCCTTTTCTCTCACTCATTTAGAGTTGATAAAGATTTTAACTAATGATGAAGAGAAAAAGAGAGAGAGGGAGAGGGAGATAAGGAAGAAAATGAGACTTTGAACGATCTTTTTTTCTTCTCTTTCGTCGAGATACCAAAAGAATTTCCAATAATTCTCACGCTTTTATCTTCTCTCTCTTATTTTATTCTCTTTCAGTTTTTTTATTCTTTTCTGCATCATCACAACTTCTCTGATTGTGATCTCATTTTTTCTTAATCATTCTAATCATTGATTCTTTTCATTAACTGATTAATCTCTCTCTCTCTCTCTCTCTCTTCAACTTCAATTGTCTTGTTGTTTATTCACTTGTAATTACAATCAACTGATTCTCTCGGTTTTCATTATCTTTTAGATTATGATGATTGTGATTAGTTAATTATCTTGATTGGTTTTCTTTTTCCTGTTTTAATTGTGGTTTCATATTCGTTGATCTCTCTGTTGATTGTTGTTGCTAATTCTTTCTAATCATTGTATCATTTTAATTATCTTGTGATTTGTTTTTTCATCTCTCGTATTGATTAAATGTTTAAAGTTCCGTTCAGTGATTAATTACTAATCAATTTAGAGAAACAATCAATCAAGATAATCAAAAAATGATCATGAGAGATAATTAAAAAGGCAAAAAATAGTAATTACAATTATAATCAGTTGACTTTTTCAATTGTAATCAATATCCTCTTGACCTCTATCACAATCAATTTACAATCTATTAATTATCATTGGAATAACAAATCAATAACAACAACAATTAAATAATAATATTCAATTGCGATTTAGCCTAAATGATGATTATTATAAAAGCAAATTGATTAAAGTTAATTGTTTAGTGTCAATTTAACTTTCACCTGATTCGGTTTAATATTAACCTTGGCCTTGCGATTGATTATTCAAAAGTAACTTGATTAACTGTAACAATTAGTTTACTACAGTTAATTATTGAATAGTTTTCTGGTTGATTGTACATTCTAATTAGATTGACAGTTTCTTAATTTCTTTAAGTTTGTTCACCTAATTGATTTAACTTTAATCTCAATCGTTTATTTAAATTTGTAGATCTAAATTGGATTAATTTTTTTAATTGGTCTAAATTGGAAAACAATTAATTGCTTAATATTTTTTACATTAGTGTTCACACTTAAAGCAACTACTGTTTCACAGTTTCCCCCTAGTGGATTAATGAGATTAGTATTGGATTAACCTACGAGATTAGTTCACTAAGAGATTAACCTTTTCACTTATTTAGGTGTCGCTTTTCTTGCTCTAAGTGTAGTTGCTTCAATTGAATGAATTGATTTCTTTTTTCATTCTTTACAATTAACATTTTTGATCAAATTGAAATTTAATTTTATCAAAAATAATTAATTAATTTGTATTATCTTCATCTTCATCTAATCCCTCATCATCATCATCATTTTGGGTTTTCCTTTTCTTAGATTTATCTTTCTTGGAACTATTTGTTTTCCCTTTAAATGTTTTCTCGTCTAAATTAATCAAGATGAAAATTAAGAAAATTAATCAACAGCCTGTGATTAACCCATTGATTGCTTTGAGTGGATGAAAACTTACCTTGTTGATTTAATTGATCGATAAGGTCTAATTAGTTGATGGTAATCATTACATTCAACCTATTCAGCAATTAATGGTCAGCAATTATTTGGTAAATTTTGATTGACCAAGAAATACAAACACATAAAAAAACTTATTCAATTGACAATTTAGTTCAATTTAAAACAGTTCAAACTGCTGAATTATTGACAATTTTTCAAAATCAAAAAATGGTTTAGATGATGAGTTAATTAATTTAACTTCGCTCAAATGAGCATTTACCTGAGGGAAAATCTGAGATGATTAACAATTTCCATAGTTTGAATGCTAATTGTTTGACTTTTGTATCTATTGTTTTTCTGTTTGTTTACTCTTTGCCTTAAGGATCGAGTCGTCGAAAATTGATTTCTCAAATTTCTGCAAATCTTCATCGTCAATCTCTAGATCATCTTCAGTGGAGATTTTTTCTTCTTCCTTGCTAATGATCCTGATAGAATACGCTGATTATAAAGAGAATCAATATAACTTGGAGATAAGTAACCTTTCGATGGCCGTTTTTTATTCCGGTCAATTGTTGGCATTAAAGATCCTCTCAAATCGGACATGAGGTTTGCTGGTGCAACTTTTTTACCAACTGAGGCAAGGCCGAAATCATCGTCTTGATCATTATCATCACCGGGAATTTCATCCAATCCCGAATCATCAGATTCGCTTATCGGTTGATTTTGGACTAATCGGTGAGCGTTTCCATCTAAGTGATGAGGTCGACGAGCAACTGGAACAAATATATTCGCTTTGGGTTTTGTTTTTCTTTTCAGTGCTCGTAACAATTTCCTGTTGACCGATCGATGAGGTGACCTTCGAATTACTTTCACTTGTTCTTTCTGCCGACGAGGCTTTTTTCGAAATCAACTTTTAACTGTAACCTTGGAATTGCCTTCCAATGAGTCTTTACCTGAGGGAAAATCTGAGATGATTCACAATTTCCATAGTTTGAATGCTAATTGTTTGACTTTTGTATTCAAACTAAACAACTGACCTGAAATCTATTGTTTTTCTGTTTGTTTACTCTTTGCCTTAAGGTGAGAATTAAGAGATTAAGAATAAGAGTTTGAGAATGCTCAATTTGGACGATACTGGGAAAATAACAAAGAAAAAGTATGAGTCGAAACCCCTCCTCGTCACGTCCATTCTCACGACAAATCTGGTAAGGAAAATGTAAATCAATCATTTCCATTTCAAATTGTACTCTGATTAGTTTCATTGTTTTTAGTTCTTTATTTTACCCAACAATTTACAATGAATCGAATTTTGATTAAGAAACCGTTTTCGAACTCGACCAATGTTCACAATAATCGTTCAGGTTGTTTTGACTTTTCCTTTTTCTCTTTGTGTTTTTTTTTTCTCTTGATTAACGTTTATTTTAATTTTCTATTTTTCTATTTTTCTATTTTTCTTCAACAGTTTATGAACCTCCGGCAAAACAAAAGACTGTCATTAGGGAAGATGACGATGATGATAGTGAATTGAGTCGAATTGGTCCCAATAATAATATTCAAGTCTACATTCGAGTTCGCCCTGAGAATGAGAGAGAATCTCGGACAAGAAGAATTATTGAAGTGGTTGATGATCAGAGTTTACTATTCGACCCGTTGACAGATGATGGTAACACTTTCACCTATCATGGTAAAAAATATAAAGATATCGGTAAAAAGGCCAACAAGGATTTGTCGTTTTCGTTTGATGCTGTTTTCGATGAAGGAACAACAAATATTCAAGTGTATGAAAGAGCCGTTAAAGGTTTTGTCCAATCTTTACTGGATGGTTTTAATTGTACCATTTTCGCCTATGGTCCAACTGGATCTGGTAAAACTTTCACAATGTTGGGATACAATGGTGATCCTGGTGTAATCTTTTATACTGCCATGGAAATATTTCACAATATTGAGCAGCGACCATCGGATGAACAATATGAAGTGTGTGTTGCTTATTTTGAAATTTACAATGAAAAAGTGCGTAACCTGTTGACACCAAGTTCACAAGTTCTCAAGGTTGTTGATTCCATGTCTGGTGGTGTAGATATTTTAGGACTTACACTGAGAACAGTTGGAAATGCCGATGAACTCATTGAAACTCTTGAAACTGGTAATCAATATCGAGCCCAACAAGCAACCGATGCAAATGCAACATCTTCACGTTCACATGCGGTTTTCCAACTATTTTTACGTAAGAAAACCTGCCCGAAAGGTAAACAACTTGTAACACAGGAAACGAAGATGTGTCTTGTAGATTTGGCAGGTTCGGAAAGAGCTTCGATTGCTTACAAAGAGAAACGTTCTGAAACTTTACACCGAGAAGGAATAAATATCAACAAGTCTCTTCTCGCACTTGGAAATTGCATCAATGCTTTGGCCTGTAAAAGTCGTAAAGGTCTTAAAAAACATATTCCTTATCGAAGTTCAGTGTTAACCAGGATATTAAGTGATTCTCTCGGTGGTAATTGTCGAACTGCAATGATCGCTACTGTCAGTCCATCATCTTTATCATATGATGACACTCACAACACTCTCTCATATGCCAACCGGGCAAAAGGAATCAATTTAGCGGTAAAGAGGAGAAGTAGCGTCATCGGTGTTCAACCGCGTCATCAACAAATGGCTCTTGATGCCTCAAATCAAGAAAATATTTCTCTGGCAGAGGACAATATTCTATTAGAACAACAGGTTGCTGAATCGCCACGAATACCTGCAAATCCTATCACAGCCGATTCTTCATCTCTTGATATTTTAAACTCGTATCAAAATATTCTAGATGAAAAGTTTAAGAAGCGACTTGAGCTGAGAAGAAAACTCGTAGAATGTGATGACGAAATTGAAAAAATCAAGGTAAGTCATAGTTTCTCTAGAATAACATTTTCGCCAGTTATTAAACTAATCAAATTAATATCTCTCTTTCTCTCTCTTTTAGTTGAAATACCTTTTAGAGAATATGCTTAAGGACAGTCGTCAACAAAATGAAGGTGCTGATGAAAACAAAGATGATAAAAGGGAGCAATATCGGGTTTGTCCCATGGATGGCTGCCCTTACACAATCCCTATTTCCAATAATAATTTCTCCAAACACAAGGGCTACCACGGGGTGGCTAAGTTAATTCAAGAAAAAATTTATTTAACTCATGAAGAATACACAATCAGGAAGAATGATTGGAAAATTTTTAAAAAGCAGAAAGAATTGGAAGCTGTGTTTGAAGAACGGAAGAATTTATTCGTTTGAAAGTCGCAACAGATGATTACTTTATTGATGCCTTTTTCCGAGAGAAACACATGCAAGTCGAACTTCAAGATAAAATAATGACCGATAAACATCATTCTGAAGTTTCCTACACGATTATCACCCAGTCGCAAGTTTGGCTCGAGAATTTGGATGCTGCCATGAAATTAACTCAAGTTTTCTTCCGTATGTTAGATGCTCTCAAAAAGTTATCTAAAGAAAGGGAAGAAGAATATCAAAATGTTGTCAAAAGATTCGAAGGTAAAAAATCGGTCGTATGGGGTGACGATAATGTTACAAAACAATCTAATATCCACTGGGCCGATATCGATAATGTTTTAAAATTATCTTCCTACACTTCAACCCCTCGAACACCATTCAGAAGGTGTGATGAAGGTGGTCTTGAAATAATTTGTTCCGGACTAACACCAAGTTCAGTGTCACCTCCATCAACCAGCGCGACCCTTAATTCAACCTTCAGCATTTCCCAAGTGTAAACATTGCCCATTATTGTTTTTTTTTGTGACCCAACCCTTTTACTCTCATTTTTTGTCATTTCCATTTCCTTTTAACTGCTCATCTTACGAATCATCATTTTAATTATTCAATTAATCATTTTATCATAATAATTTTCATCATCCATTATCTCTCAATTGTATTACAGAGGTGATTTCACTTAGAGAAATTATCAGCGCCCCCTACATAACTGAAAAGGTTAATTTCTTATGAAAAAAAGGTGAACTAACACCTTACCTTTTCCAAGCCTAAAGGTACTAATCCACCAGGAGGAGACTGTGAAGACCGACTTTCCCTAAGTGAAATCACCTCTGTAATCCCAAAACTCATGATCGAACGTCTTTAATGGCGATCTGATTCAGCGAGAAACAGCTCACAACTGATCTCTATCTGAAAAATTCTTATTTCGATTGTAATCGATCAACTAACAATTAAAAAAGTTAAGCCAAATTAAAGTTGTTTAAAATGTTTATAATTGATACCTTTTTTTACAATTTCTATCCTCTTCATTTGATCCAAATAGTTTTCGTAATCAACAACAATTAACAGAAAATAGTTAATTAGTAACATCGATGATTACGTGTTCACTTTTCTAATTAAAAAGAAAAGTTCATTTACTCTCATTGAATCCATTCATTAATCAACTCATGTGAATTAAATTACGAAATCAACATGTGCTTAATTGTGGTTACAATTTGTAGCAATTTAGTGTTGACCATAGGATTAACATTTGTTTCTCGTCGGGATTACAATCGTTATCCATTTGATTACAACAATGATTACCATCAACTAATTAGACCTTATCGATCAATTAAATCTCAAAGTGATGACGATTGGAATCTTATTAAAGATGAAATTAGTAATCAATCAAAACAATCAATTAAACCAGTTTCTTTTTCTAATTTTCTCAAATCTCGATCACTAAATCAACAAGGTAAATTTTTATCTATTCAAAGCAATCAATGGGTTAATCAAAGGTTGTTAATTCAACCTTGGCCTTGTGACTGATTATTCAAAAGTAACTTGATTAACTGTAACAATTAGTTTGCTACAGTTAATTATTGAATAGTTTTCTGGTTGATTGTACATTCTAATTAGATTGACAGTTTCTTATTATGGTTATTTGTTTTTCACTTAATTGATTTGACTTTGCTCCTGATCGTTTATTCACAATTGTATAATTGTAGATCTAAATTGGAAAATAGTTGGTGAATTTTGTTACTCTAATAGGACGAATTGGTTTTTCATATTCTTTACAATTAATGGTATATTTTTCCAATCATTACAATTAACGTTTTAGACCAAATTGAAATTTAATTGTAATCTTTTCTTTGATGAGTTAACAAGTTGTCAGTGCAATTTAGAAACTAGAATATCAAATGTTTACAATACAATAGAAAATTAAATAATTAACAATTAATAGCAATAATTTACGAAATTTTGTATCCTAAATGATTTGATATCTAACGAACAATAATAATAATAATATATTAACAATTAGCAATGGCAACAATTAGCGATTGACTTTGATTGGCAGTCCAAGATTGATTAGTAATCCATAGAGAGAGTGAGAAAAATTAAAACTCTGACTTTGATTGAACCAATGGAAGGACAATTAAGAGAAGTAAATTAAGATGATCAGAATTAGTTGAGAATATCACCAAGAGCGGGAATATCGACATCGAATTCATCGGATTTCTTTTCCATTGGGTAACTTGGTTTCTCGACATGAGGGATCGAGGGAAGCGAGGGAACCACTGGGACACTTGGAACTACCGATCGATGTTCATCGTAACGAGGTTCGTGGTGGACATAAGGTTTTTGATGGGAAATATGAGCGACTTTGGATCCATGGTGATCGGGACCATTGAATTTAGCATGAGCAGAGTCAACGGAGGCAACACCAGGTTCATTGGAATCAATTTTCACTCGGAAACCATTTTTATCGGCAACATAATGGACGATTCGGAGTCGACCATCTTTATCCTTTAGCCCATAGGAACCAGCCTTATTGCCCCAAGCATCACCTGATTCCTCACGATAGTTTGAAGCTCCTTTAGGATCAAGAACATTATAACCAAAAGCGTAATTTCCTTTTCCGTCTTGTTTTTGGAAAACTTTTGATGCTCCCCCACCACCGTGTCCATGTCCATGATCATAAGCGAAAACTTGAAGAGACAAACAACAGAGGACCAAAAGAATTGACAATTTAGACATAATTGGAATTGTTGGTTAATAGATGAGCTACTAAATTACAAATAGAAATGTTTGTTGTTGAGAACGGATGTTGACTGATGAAAATTCACTCGATGGTTCCGGTTTTTATTCATTTCGACAAAAAAAATCTCTCTCAGGTATTGGGCGGTTATCAGTTTCCATTCAGAGGTGTTTACTTTTTTTTTCATCCTTGATTGTGTTCTGATAATCGGTTAGATAATCGACAAAATTTTGTAGCTTTCACTTTCGTCGAAATTGTCACCACGAACAATTTAAATGGTTTCAAAGGCGTTGACAATTTTGTCATCTACTTGTGGAGTTGATTTAGATGATTGTAAGTCTAAAGTAAATAACAATCAATTTTTCCATATCAACAAGGGTAACGAGTCGAAATCACTAATCACTAATTGTCACACGTTCGGTTTGTTGTTGTTGTTATCTGGCTTAAAGTAGGAACGATTTTGTGAATGAAGGTCAAATGTTATTACACAATGACCTCATTTTTAACTCGCAAAGCTTGAATTAGATTTTGATTGGACATCACACTGATTAAGGCGAAAGGATTGACGATCAGGTTGACTGATTTTCTGATCTCAGTTTAGATTACAAATATTGTGGAAACAATTTAGATTATTGGTTAAGTTGATTTGCATTTAGAGTTAATTTCCACCAGGTAAACTCATTTCATTCAATTTAATAGCTTGGATTTAATTGTTGTTTACTTTTCCTTTTTACATCTTGTGTTTGTTAATTTTAACTAATTAGCGACATGATCCAAGTGTTAATTGATTTGGTTAATTGTTGTAAATCAAGTCTTTCAGAAATTAGTGGTTTTATTGTCATTCATAGCAATTACTTTGTTGACTTTCATCAGTTTAATCCTATTAACATTTTAATGGGAGATAAATCATTGAATTGGAAGAGAAAAATAATTAATCTAATTAATAAGAAAATTGGAATGAAAATATTAATAAAAAAAACCAAAAGAATAATTAAGAGATTCAAATTACCCGGCAAACAAAAAAGAGCGAAATTAAGTTGACCAATGAGAAAGAAAAGAAGCCATTCGATTTGGACCAATGAGAGAAGAGGAAAAAAAATTTCAAACAGAAAATGACTCATTCATTGTTGGAGATGAGAAAACATTAAGTTTACTTTTTACATCTACAAGTTTGTTAAATTATTTAATTGTTATTATTTTAAATTGTCTTTTTATATGATTGATTAACAATTTACTTCGGTGATGATGAATCGTGGGTCGGTGAAGAGACCGCTTTCCGATTCGACAAATGTTCTTGATTATTGTTCAGGTTGTTTTGACTTTTCCTTTTTCTCTTTGTGTTTTTTTTTTCTTCTCTTGATTAACGTTTATTTTAATTTTCTATTTTTCTATTTTTCTATTTTTCTTCAACAGTTTATGAACCTCCGGCCAAACAAAAGACTGTCATTAGGGAAGATGACGATGATGATTGTGAATTGAGTCGAATTGGTCCCAATAATAATATTCAAGTCTACATTCGAGTTCGCCCTGAAAATGAGAGAGAATCTCGGACAAGAAGAATTATTGAAGTGGTTGATGATCAAAGTTTACTATTCGACCCGTTGACAGACGATGGTAACACTTTCACCTATCATGGTAAAAAATATAAAGATATCGGTAAAAAGGCCAACAAGGATTTGTCGTTTTCGTTTGATGCTGTTTTCGATGAAGGAACAACAAATATTCAAGTGTATGAAAGAGCCGTTAAAGGTTTTGTCCAATCTTTACTTGATGGTTTTAACTGTACCATTTTCGCCTATGGTCCAACTGGATCCGGTAAAACTTTCACAATGTTGGGATACAATGGTGATCCTGGTGTAATCTTTTATACTGCCATGGAAATATTTCACAATATTGAACAAAGACCATCGGATGAACAATATGAAGTGTGTGTTGCTTATTTTGAAATTTACAATGAAAAAGTGTATGACCTGTTAACTCCAAGTTCACAAGTCCTTAAGGTTGTCGATTCCATGTGTGGTGGTGTAAATATTTTAGGACTTACACTGAGAACAGTTGGAAATGCCGATGAACTCATTGAAACTCTTGAAACTGGTAATCAATATCGTGCCCAACAAGCAACCGACGCAAATGCAACATCTTCACGTTCACATGCGGTTTTTCAACTGTTTTTACGCAAGAAAACCTGCCCGAAAGGTAAACAACTTGTAACACAGGAAACGAAGATGTGCCTTGTAGATTTGGCTGGTTCGGAAAGAGCTTCAATCGCTTACAAAGAGAAACGTTCCAAAACTTTACACCGAGAAGGAGGAAATATCAACAAGTCTCTTCTTGCACTTGGAAATTGCATCAATGCTCTGGCCTGTAAAAGTCGTAAAGGTCTTAAAAAGCATATCCCTTACCGGAGTTCAGTGCTAACCAGGATATTAAGTGATTCTCTCGGTGGTAATTGTCGAACTGCAATGATCGCTACTGTCAGTCCATCATCTTTATCATACGATGACACTCACAACACTCTCTCATATGCTAACAGGACAAAAGGAATCAATTTAGCGTTAAAGAGGAGAAGTTGCGTCATTGGTGTTCAACCGCGTCATCAACAAATGGCTCTTGATGCCTTGAGGCAAGAAAATATTTCTCTGGCAGAGAAAATTATTCTATTAGAACAACAGGTTGCTAAATTGCAACGAATGCCTGCAAATCCTATCACAGCCGATTCTTCATCTCTTGATATTTTAAACTCATATAAAAATATTCTAGATGAAATGTTGAACAACCGACTTGAGCTGAGAAGAAAATTCTTAGAATGTGAAAGTGAAATTAAAAAAATCGAGGTAAGTCATAGTTTCTCATGAATTACATTTTCTCCTATTATTAAACTAACCAAATTGATCTTTCTCTCTCTCCCGCCCATAGTTGAAATACCTTTTAAAGAATATGCTTAAGGACAGTCTCCAACAAAATAAAGGTTCCGATGCAGATGAAAACAAATATGATGCAGCTCGATATCTTTACCACCAAAAGTTACATTATGAGGATCGATACAATCAATTACAACGAGAAGTTGCTGATAATGAAAGCGCAATCAGAGAATTGGAAGATTTAATTCGTTCAAAAGTCGCAACAGATGATTACTTTATTGATGCCTTTTTCCGAGAGAAACACATGCAAGTCGAACTTCAAGATAAAATAATGACCGATAAACATCATTCTGAAGTTTCCTACACGATTATCACCCAGTCGCAAGTTTGGCTCGAGAATTTGGATGCTGCCATGAAGTTAACTCAAGTTTTCTTCCGTATGTTAGATGCTCTCAAAAGTTATCTAAAGAAAGGGAAGAAGAATATCAAAATGTTGTCAAAAGATTCGAAGGTAAAAAATCGGTCGTATGGGGAGACGATAATGTTACAAAACAATCTAATATCCACTGGGCTGATATCGATAATGTTTTAAAATTATCTTCCTACACTTCAACCCCTCGAACACCATTCAGAAGGTGTGATGAAGGTGGTCTTGAAATAATTTGTTCCGGACTAACACCAAGTTCAGTGTCACCTCCATCAACCAGCGCGACCCTTAATTCAACCTTCAGCATTTCCCAAGTGTAAACATTGCCCATTATTGTTTTTTTTTGTGACCCAACCCTTTTACTCTCATTTTTTGTCATTCCCATTTCCTTTTAACTGCTCATCTTACGAATCATCATTTTAATTATTCAATTATTCATTTTATCATAATAATTTTCATCATCCATTATCTCTCAATTGTATTAATCCCAAAACTCATGATCGAACGTCTTTAATGGCGATCTGATTCAGCGAGAAACAGCTCACAACTGATCTCTATCTGAAAAATTCTTATTTCGATTGTAATTGATCAACTAACAATTAAAAAAGTTAAGCCAAATTAAAGTTGATCACTTGTAGCAACTAAAATTTGGCAATCGATTAAAATGTTTATAATTGATACCTTTTTTTACAATTTCTATCCTCTTCATTTGATCCAAATAGTTTTCGTAATCAACAACAATCAACAGAAAATAGTTAATTAGTAACATCGATGATTACGTGTTCACTTTTCTAATTAAAAAGAAAAGTTAATTTACTCTCATTGAATCCATTCATTAATCAACTCATGTGAATTAAATTACGAAATCAACATGTGCTTAATTGTGGTTACAATTTGTAGCAATTTAGTGTTGACCATGGGATTAACATTTGTTTCTCGTCGGGATTACAATCGTTATCCATTTGATTACAACAATGATTACCATCAACTAATTAGACCTTATCGATCAATTAAATCTCAAAGTGATGACGATTGGAATCTTATTAAAGATGAAATTAGTAATCAATCAAAACAATCAATTAAACCAGTTTCTTTTTCTAATTTTCTCAAATCTCGATCGCCAAATCAACAAGGTAAGTTTTCATCCATTCAAAGCAATCAATGGGTTAATCACAGGCTGTTGATTAATTTTCTTAATTTTCATCTTGATTAATTTAGACGAGAAAACATTTAAAGGGAAAACAAATAGTTCCAAGAAAGATAAATCTAAGAAAAGGAAAACCCAAAATGATGATGAAGAAGATGATGATGATGGTGAGGAAAATGAGGAAGATGATGGAGAATTAGATGAAGATGAAGATGAAGATAATACAAATGGAGGTAAAGATGAGGAAATGTCCGCTTCTTCTGGTTTAGATCTTGGTGTTTTGGGTCAAGTTGATGAAATGATGGCGATGGTTGAAAAGAATACGATCTTGCCTGATGGAATTCACTTTGATGATTCTAAATTGTTGGAAGGCAATTCCAAGGTTACAGTTAAAAGTGGATCTCGAAAAAAGCCTCGTCGGCAGAAAGAACAAGTGAAAGTAATTCGAAGGTCACCTCATCGATCGGTCAACAGGAAATTGTTACGAGCACTGAAAAGAAAAACAAAACCCAAAGCGAATATATTTGTTCCAGTTGCTCGTCGACCTCATCACTTAGATGGAAACGCTCACCGATTAGTCCAAAATCAACCGATAAGCGAATCTGATGATTCGGGATTGGATGAAATTCCCGGTGATGATAATGATCAAGACGATGATTTCGGCCTTGCCTCAGTTGGTAAAAAAGTTTCACCAGCAAACCTCATGTCCGATTTGAGAGGATCTTTAATGCCAACAATTGACCGGAATAAAAAACGGCCATCGAAAGGTCACTTATCTCCGAGTCATATTGATTCTCTTTATAATCAGCGTATTCTATCAGGATCATTAGCAAGGAAGAAGAAAAAATCTCCACTGAAGATGAATGATGATCTAGAGATTGACGATGAAGATTTGCAGAAATTTGAGAAATCAATTTTCGACGACTCGATCCTTTATCCAGACGATTATATCGTTGTACCACGAACAGAAAAAGGAATGGCCAATAATCAAGATACAATTCCATTCCAATATAATGTTGAGATTCGAAGTCGAAAAAATCTCAAGGTAAAAGCCGATCCTGAATCATTGTCTTCGTCTGAAAGGTACAAGAAACACGAACAAAAAGAGGAGGAACATTGGCACGAAAAGAAATGGACAAAAACTGGACGATTCGAATTGTCCCAATTTTCCGATCAAGTTGATGATTCTCAAGATGGTCAAATGAAACCTGCCGATGGAGATGATGAGGATCCTGAGGGTTCAGTGGTTGCTGGTGATGATTCTGAAGATAATCAAGATGAACAAAATAAAGGAAGGAAACAGAAAAAGATAAAAGCAAAGAGGAGGAAAAAAAAGAAAATGAAAAAGGTGAAAAAAGAGGAATCACATTTCGATGATCTTTTACATGATGAGGATGGAGGACATTTCGATATACCATCGAAAGGATTCAGGATTAACAAGCGATTTGTTGATTGGACTGAAAATAAAATCAATTTGGATTAATATGATTTGTATTGCCAAAGATGATTTTAAATTGTACAACTTGAAGATTTGTATTTGTTCACGGGTATCACTGTAATTAATAGAGCTACAAACTTTTTTAGAACATAGTGAATCAAATAAATCAATTATTAATTTAACTGATTCAATTTATATCGACCATGTATTTAGTTTACATTAGTGATAAAATCTATTTTTTTATAAACAATCTGGATCTTGATGTAAGACCATCTATCAAAATGATCTTGTATCACATGATCATTATTATTAGATTTTCTGAAGACTGGGTAGTATTAAGAGGATAAATTTTCCAAAATGAAGGAGAAAAATTAATCCATTCAAAGAATATTCAACAAGATTAGACGATATTTCTATCTGGAAATATGTAATCCAAACGATTCCTTGCAGGTCGGAACATCCAAAATTCATAGATCTCAGCTGGTGGATTAGCTCCAGGTGGTAAAGTCTTGAATCTTTGTTGTCCGAAAAATGTACCAGGCACCCAATCAGGGAATCTTGACATTGTTTCAGCTTCTTCATCTCTCAAGTAATGTAAATTCTTAAGATACAATCGATCTCTTTCTGCTTCAATAAAAGGTTCAAGAGCAACAAGAGAATTGGTTATTTCAATGTTCCGTAGATCACGTTGAAAGCGTTTATTCCGAGAAGTTCGAATATTCCACAATGAAACAGCTACCCCAAAACAAAATATACTAAAATCTATATATAAAACCAAAGAAAAAAAAGAAAACAATTTAATAACAATCAAGAGAAAAAAAGGTTTAACAACAGAGAGAGAGAGAAGGTCAACCAAAAACCTAAACAGAAATCAAAAAGAAAACGAAATCTACTTACTTGAGATGACCCGTTTCGATCTCATTCGTTCAATATGAATCGGAGGATACCCTCCGGGTGGAGGCATATCCTGTTTAAAGAAACCCGACATAAATTAAACCTAATTATTGTCCACAATTAAGAGAAATTAATTGTAAACATTGGAAGAGAAAAAAAGAAAATAAACCGAAGCGCCACCTTCAGGAAAAGAAAATCAGGTAAGAAAGAGACGAAAATCGAACCCAGGGGGCGTTAGTTTCCATTCGCAAACTTCTAATTGTGAATCTCGTTTTTTTCATCAGTTGATTCTTACAATTAGAATTAGAAGTTAATTTTTCTCCATCGTTTTCTTTTTTAGTTAATTGTTGAAATTGGTTCAATCAACAAGCATCTTTTTAATTCACCGATGATCAACAGTTAAAGAAAAAAGAAAAATCAATTGGAATCGTTATTTTTTTGTTCTTCTTCTTCTCTCCTTGGTTACATCTTCATCTGTCATTTTTCTCGTTTTTTATTTCTTCTCTCATTTTCTCTGTTACATTTGAAAACAAATTGTTCGTTAATTTTTTGTTCGCTGTTTATTAATCCATTTTTACTTAATCAACCATGGATTTGCAAATTTCTACTCCATCAGTTAATAGTTTTACTGTCTATGATTATGGTGTCTTTGTTCTTATGCTCATATCATCAGCTGCCATTGGGATCTACTATGCTTTTCAGGTAAACATCTTTGGTCTGTTAATCCTTTTTCCCAATGTTAACTGTTTTCTTTTCTCTTAATCTTCTCTAAATCCATTGGGTTCTACTTTTACTTTTCATCCTCAATTCAGTAAAAATCTATAACATATACATTCATCTATGTATGTTAAATATCTTTCAATGTTTAGCTTATTGTTGTGTTGCTAACCAATTTTATTCTATTCTCTTTGACTGTCTCTCTTTTCTCTCTCTTCTCTTTCTCTTTCTCTCTCTATCTCTATCTTTGTCCTAGAGATTTGAACCTGGTTATAAGGTTAAGACTCTTAATTTTTGTCTTTCAAATCAATTTCGAGACGATCAGAGTTAAATGTCATCATAACTGTTACAATGTAATAACCTCTAGTGTTAGTAAGAGTGAAGGATGAACAAAGTGAAAGTAAAAAAATGAAAGGTTTTTTTTTGTGCGGGAAAATAATTCTGTACATGAAAACAATGGTGATTACTCATTTTCCTAAAGCCATTTATGTTCTATTCTCTTTTTATTAATATTTCTAAATGATTATTTACATATTCTTTTTTTTTCTTCTGGCTATCATCAAATATCTACACAGGATCGCAAGAATAAATCATCGAAAGAATTTTTAACCGCCAATCGATCTCTTCATTGGTTCCCAGTCGCCATGTCTTTAATGGCAAGTTTCCAAAGTTCAGTTACCATTCTAGGTTACCCGGCGGAAATGTATTTCTCAGGAACCCAATTTTGGCTCGTTATAATCTCTGCATGTCTGGCTGCTGTTGCTGCTGCTGAACTTTTCTTACCTGTTTACTATGGACTATCTTTCACCAGCGTCAACAAGGTAATACATACGCACTATTTATCAGACTGAGTTCATACTCTCTCTCTCTCTCTCTTTCTCTCTCTATCTCTATCTTTGTCCTAGAGATTTGAACCTGGTTATAAGGTTAAGACTCTTAATTTTTGTCTTTCAAATCAATTTCGAGACGATCAGAGTTAAATGTCATCATAACTGTTACAATGTAATAACCTCTAGTGTTAGTAAGAGTAAAGGATGAACAAAGTGAAAGTAAAAAAATGAAAGGTTTTTTTTTGTGCGGGAAAATAATTCTGTACATGAAAACAATGGTGATTACTCATTTTGCTAAACCCATTTATGTTCTATTCTCTTTTTATTAATATTTCTAAATGATTATTTACATATTCTTTTTTTTTTCTTCTGGCTATCATCAAATATCTACACAGGATCGCAAGAATAAATCATCGAAAGAATTTTTAACCGCCAATCGATCTCTTCATTGGTTCCCAGTCGCCATGTCTTTAATGGCAAGTTTCCAAAGTTCAGTTACCATTCTAGGTTACCCGGCGGAAATGTATTTCTCAGGAACCCAATTTTGGCTCGTTATAATCTCTGCATGTCTGGCTGCTGTTGCTGCTGCTGAACTTTTCTTACCTGTTTACTATGGACTATCTTTCACCAGCGTCAACAAGGTAATACATACGCACTATTTATCAGACTGAGTTCATACTCTCTCTCTCTCTCTCTCTCTGCACTATTTTATGGATCCTCCATCTTTTTTTGCTATGTTACCTTTAATATCTAAAAACAGTTGAATCATCACATCAGATTAAATTGTTGTTGCATTTTTAATTGTTCAACACAATTCGGTTTTCATAGCTACTCAATTCACCGTTATTATTATCACCCTCGACTCCTCTATTTACATAACCAGAATCTCATTTATCATCTTGGTTCATATTCATTCCGATTGCAACGTTATCTTATTTTTAATTGATTTCTTTTCAATGATTAACCATTTTCTCATCTCACAAATTTGATTGTCCAATTTTTAATTCTCGTTTACAATTTTCACCATCAATTCTTTACTTAATTTGGATAGTTTGTATTTACACTTTAATTATCATTATTATCATCATTTTTTTACTCAGGCAAATCTTTCTATTCATTTATTTGTTTACTTTTTTTTTCGATCAAGGAAAGTTAATCAAACTTAATTTTAATCGTAAACAATTTAACTAAACAAAGGTGATTGATCGAAGAGGAAAACAACAAGTTACTTTATAATACCCTTAATCAAATACAGTACAAAGTATTGATATTAATTGTAGTTCATTAACAGTTTCAATCAAATCATATCTGTTTAATCATCGATTTAAATTGTTATCCTTTCTTTTGATTTGTAATTTTTGTTGTTCACGTTTCTCTCAATACAATTAAGCCTTTAATTGTTATTCAAATGGCATGAGAAATGTATTATGAGCTTCCCAGAGAGAATCGATATACAGTAGAGGAAACAAATTTCACTTAATTGTAACAATTTAATTTCACTGATTAACTTAAACCGGTTCATTAATCGTAAAAACAAATTTACGCTTATGTGTGAGTGTATTTTTCTTTATGAATTAGTAACAATTCATGTTTAGTGTCAAATTTGTTTAATTTCACTTTAATCCGGTGACCCTTTGACCACCAAATGAAGTTAATCAAATTGATGATCATAATGATCACCATCATCAACCGAAACCATCATTAGAATCATCGAAACAATCAAGTTAATGATGTTTCCTGTTGTTGATGTTTCAATGATTTTAATGATTATAATCAAAAATTAACTTTTCTGATGTTTCTAAAGTTGAATTACTGTTTATTAATTGTGAAAGAAATAACAATTTATTGGTCAAGGTTATTCAGATGCTTATAAGCAAAGGTCACTTTCTTTTCAACAATCAGTTAACAATTTCAATTGAAATCAACGCAATTCACTTCAGATATTGACAACAATTAACAAAATGTTCACAACTCGAACGCCATTGAAAATAAATTGTCTCTCTATTGTTATGATTATCAAGTGAATTTTGTTGATTACAACTGAATTTAAATTGTTCTATATGTTGATCCTCTTTGTAATTAACTCTTTTCTTTTCTCAATTAATTTTGACAATTTTTAATTCAATTTTTCTCCTTAAATTTATCATGACTCTTATTCTGATTGTTTGAATTTTATTTTATCAAATAATCATCTCAACTAGTTAAGTTAATTTGTTAGTTTGTAAGTACTTAATTAAAGTCAAGGTTTTAATCCTTAATTTTAATAACTAAATTTAAACCACTCCAGTGTCTTGAATTGAATCACTATTTGATTATGATGACAACTTTCATCATCAGTATCATCCTTAGTAGGCATGACATTGTCGTATTCGTGACAATTAGCATCCAATTTAAATGATTACATTAAATTGACAGCTCGTTGATAGTTAACAATTTAATTGAGTTTCAAGAAGGAAAATATTTTCGCAAGATTAACTGAGGTCAATAAACAATTTACTTAATTCAATTGACCAATTTTCATCTATAAACTTAATATTACTCTTAATTAAATCTTCTAATTGAAATCATCTACGTTAATTGTCATCATAGTTAATATTTTCATCATCATTGTCACAATTAACTTTATTTTTTGCCTTAATCAATAATCATAATCATCATCATCACCAATAACTATTAAAGTATATGAGGTTAGGTCACCTATTTAGAAACAACTTGTAATTGTTATGAAGAAAAAGTTAATTGTCATTTTGAATTACCAAACCTAATTGTAAATCATTTAATAGACCAACACACTAATATTCATTTAATTTCGCAACAATTTATCTTGATTGTTGGAACAATTGTTGATAAACAATTACCAATTTCATATGAACATTAGCCAAACTGATCAATCTCATCTTCCCAATTCTTTGTTTTGTTTTTAACTAACAATCAAATTTAATTTGATAAAAATGATTACCGATTGAAATGAAAACATCAATCTAAAAATAATCAATTTAATAATCAGTTAATCACAATTAGAATGGTTTTATATTTATAAATATACTTTTAATTGTATTCAAGATTTGTCATGTTCTCATTTTAATCAATAATTTCACTAATCAATTTTATAACAGTTAGGCTTATCAACTAAACAATTTAGACACAATCAAATTAATCTCTTATTATAATCAACTGTCACATAGATATAAACTCAATTCAACCCAAATCATAATCAAAAAGATTGATTTTTGGGATTGATATTAATAATTTACTAATATTAACGATTAACAATTGTTAACCCTTTCTGATTGAATATATTTACAAATCTAATAGCAGGTTACCTATCAACAATTAAATCAAATTACAATAATATAACTTGATGATATGATGATAATGATTAGTAACAATGGATTATCATCCTTCATTAAGTTCATTGATGGAAACAAAAACCTCTGAATTGAACAATTTATTAGATTATCATCGATCCAATGTATGAATTTGATTGTTGATTTTGACTTTAATTGTAAACAATTAACAATGATAATTATCTTGTTAACCATTGTTATCAATATAAATTGAAGAGACTTATTAGTTTTATCACTAATTTTCATCTATGCAAATGTAATTGAAGATAAATTTTAATTGTCTAATTACCAAATAATTTATCGTTAGTTAATTAACCTTGAAGGTTAATCACAATGTTTTAGATTTAATTGTGTTACAATATATATACAATGTATACTTTATATCATAATTAACTTTTATAATTAATTAATCAAACAAAAAGTTGTCCATCTTATTGTAAATTGTGATTTAATGGTTATAACAATCAACTGATTAAACATCATGGAAATCATTACCCTTGCTATATTTAAATAATACAACAACAATTAACTCGATTGATTATATTGTCTTAACACAGTACCTTTGTTAATTAACGTCAAGTTCATTAACTTTATATAATTTAATTTTCATTCCCTTTACATAAATTAGTTGAGTCCAACAATTTAATAAAATTCACAACCACAATCTTGCTAATCAGTATTTAAATCATCATCTATTTATAAATGCAATGCAATTAAAGCAACTAATTAAACAATTTAAATTGATAAAGTTTGATTGTTCAGTGTTGAAATGTTACCATTTCTAACTGAATAAATCACCATGTTAATCTTTAAGCTCACTTCCCATTCCCATGCTTATCTCATGAGCTTCGAGTGAAAAGTTCATCGTTCTCACAATTTATTAGTTTTCGTCATTTTTTCTGATGAAATTATTACTCTTTTTTACATTGAAAACGTTAATCCAGTAAATTAGGTTGGGTAATGTCTTAATCATCATGTTTCATTTACTTAAAAAAGCATCATGTTCATTTCTGGTTTCTTGCCATGTATTCAGAATTGTTCAGATCAGACATTCAGATAATGTGGTGAAAAAAGATCACATTGATTACCTATGGAAAATGCTAAGTATGAGTTGTGTATTTATCTTATTTATAAATTGATCTTTCCTAATTTAACTAATTTGACTCTCATAACAATTAATCAAAATGTCTTCTCATCACAAAAAAAAGATCTGCAATCGATGATCAAATAATTGATTTAACGATTTCATTTCAACTGAAATTTGATATCAATTTATTATTTTGTTATTTTAATTTTCTATTCCCAATTATGATTATGATCGCTTCTAAATTCACTCTCATCTTCTAATTAATTGACTGATTGTCTTGATAAGTTTAATCGATCACAATTAGTTGCTGAGTAGTTAAATCCATGTGTTAACCCTTCCTAAAACTTTTCCCTATTTGTTTTTATCAAAGTTTCACTTTTTGATTGTTATTCTGATAGTTTAATAGTTACTGATGTTTTCCATGATTATCTTCACTTATTAATGATAATAATTATATTTGATTACTTGGAAAAAAATTCTCATTTGTTATTAGATTGGCAAAGGCCCAATGAACACAAATTAATAGTTTCGCCGGAAACAAATCATGTAAACATTTCAATCTAATTTAATCATGATAATTGTGATCATGTTTTACTTTCGTTTTCAAATAATTTAC